AGTCTTCCGGATGACGAGGAGAGATGAAAACGTGAAAACGTACCCGTATTGCCTTTTCCTGGTACATTTCCAGAAGGGAACGGTGACGCTCAATGCGTTGAAGGCCATCTGCTCCATCAACTTCATCGTTGTTCAATGGGAGCCATACCGTGGCGGTCGTCACGACGTCACCCAGTGTCAGCGTTGCCTGAATTTCGGGCATGGCATCCGAATCAATCCGCGCTGTGGCAAATGCGCCCAAAATCATGTCTCCTCCGAGTGCGTTGTCGACGAGTCGGAAACGTGCAAATGCGCCAACTGTGGTGGAGCTCATCAAGGGTCCGACAAACAGTGTCCCAAACGCGAGGATTTCAAACGGATCCGAAAGCAAGCGTCAACAAGTCAACCAAGAAGGAAGAAGGAAAACATTCCGGCATCAGGGTGGAGGACTTCCCGCCTTTTCGTGCTACGCAACACGGTCAAGCAAATCCACGGGTGCAATCCGGCCCCCGTCAAGAAACGTCTGGTGCTTCTGCTGGACAAAGCTCCCCATCCCCCCTGGATTCTGGAGACAACCATCAGCACAAAACGTTAATCCCGATCTCTTCTCTGCGGATGAGCTCATGAAGATTTTCGTCGACATGACCAGCGCTCTTCGTCAGTGCCGCAGCAAGCCCGAACAGATCCAAGTGCTCGGTAAGTTTATCATTCAGTATGGCGTCTAAACCGTTAACTATAGTGACGTGGAACGCTTGCTCTGTACGAGCCAAAAAGTTCGAGCTTGCTGACTTCCTCCGCAAGCATAGTATCGACGTGGGCCTCCTAACTGAGACCCATCTTAAATCCGGTGACAGCTTTTGGTTGCCTGATCACCACAATATCCGGCTTGATCGTATCGACTCCAGGGGTGGTGTTGCGATCATCATCAAGAAAGGAATCAAGTTCTGCACGCTGCCGCATATCCGCACTTCTATCATCGAGGTCCTTAGTGTGGAGGTGGAATCACCAACCGGAAACGTCCGGTTCATCGCCGTACACTGCCCTCGTCAGTGTGCTGCCAGTAAAGGATTAGGCATCCAATTTAAAAATGACCTGACCACCATCACTCGCACGAGCTCACGATTCGTCATTAGGGGCGATCTAAATGCCCGCCACGAAGCATGGCGGAACTATCAGCGGAATCAGAGCGGACGTCTGCTCTTCGACCACTCGCAGCATGGGATGTATACAGTGAAATTCCCGGATGAACCGACATTCATCTCTCCGGCGAGAAACCCTTCCGCGTTAGACATTTTTCTAACGAACTTTTGACTATCCAAACCGATGGCGATCAACGATCTCAGCTCCGACCACCAACCTGAAGTCGGCACCAACGTGAAACTTGCTCAAAGCCTGCGCAAAGACTACCATCATGTCAACTGGGTGCAGTTTTGGCATGTGGTTGACAGAAACATCGATGAAAATCTGCTGCTTGACTCCGTGGAGGACATCGACCGAGGGTTGGAGGGACTCCACCAAGCCATAACCGTGGCTGACGAGGCGTGCGTCCGACGAGTTCCTGTAAGGGGTAAGTTTATTGCCATTGATTCCCACACCCAACTCTTGACTCGACTGAGAAATGTTCGTAGACGCCAGTTCCAGAGAACCCGGAGATCGAGGAAACTTGAAATGGCCGATCTGAACAAGGAGATTGCTTCCAGAATGGTCTCACTCCGGAACGAAAATTTCAGGCGGCTTGTCCAGAATCTGGATGACCGCTCCAGACCATTCTGGAAAGGTCCAAGGTCCTAAAGACGCACCCCAAACCCATTCCACCACTCAAAGATGAATGTGATGACGATTGGTGAGCATATTGCCAAATCGCACTTGCTTGGCTCCAACATCCAAAGTCCGCTCGAAGTTCAGGTTGAGCAATGCGTACTCAACCTTGATTCCTCCCCTTGTTGTAATCCCCCTGGAGGATACAATCACAGTGGAACAGATTTACTCAGCGCTGAAATGCACCAACAACATGAAGACCCCCGGGTTCGACGGAATATTCAACCTAGTGTTGAAAAATCTCAGCATGAAGGTTCACTCTCTACTGGCCGCTGCCTTTAACAAATGCTTGGAACTGCACTACGTTCCATGTATCTGGAAGACAGCGAAAATCATACCTATTCGCAAACCCGGGAAGGACCCAACGCTAGCTTCAAGCTACAGACCAATCAGCCTCCTTTCAGCGCTGAGCAAATTGTTCGAGAAACTTATTCTCAATCGTTTGCTCAATTTTGTCGAGGAACGCAACATTCTCCTACCGGAACAGTTCGAGTTCAGGAAGGGGCACTCCACAAATCATCAGCTAGTACGGGTGATGAATAACATCCGAAGTAACAAGGCTGTATCCAAGCCCACAGTCATGGCATTGTTAAGCGTTGAGAAAGCGTTTGACAATGTCTGGCACAACGGACTGGTGTACAAGCTTTGTAACTTCAACTTTCCACCACATCTTGTAAAAATCACCCGAAACTACCTCCAGCAAAGGTCGTTCAAGATATCGTTGAATGATTGCAATTCAAACACATTTTACATCCCAGCAGGTGTTCCGCAAGGAAGTCTGTTGGGCCCTTTGCTATACAGCATCTACACTTTCGACATTCCTCCCGTGGGCAACGGTTGCGTGTTCTTCCTGTTTGCAGAGGATACCGTCATAATCGTCAAGGGAAGGATGTCTCGTGAAATAACAAACAAGCTTCAACGATGCCTTGACGCCTTTGCTGATTATGCCAACACGTGGAAAATCATTGCCTCCAAAACACAAACAACCATGTTCCTCCATCGACAATCACCCAAACTAAAACCGGCTCCCTCTTGTACTGTAATCATGGATGGCACAAGGGTTGAGTGGTCCGCCGAAGTAACCTATCTCGGGATGTTGTTTGACGAAAAGCTCCTATTCCGCTCGCATGTGAAGAAAACCGTAGTCTAGTGTTACGCCTTGGTTAGGTGTCTGTAATCTGTATCCGCTGATTTACCGCAGATCCCGCCTCTAAAGGGTGAACAAACTGGCTGTCTACAAACAAATAATAGCACCTGCGATCCTCTACGCAGCTCCGGTGTGGGAATCATGTGCACTGCCTATAATCTTAGATCAGTCCCATATGGAAAAAGTAGGCATTGAGAAAATGACAGGCGAAGTTACGAAGTGCAATTTCCATGAAAAGATTTGATGAATAATAGTAAATTATTTGACAATTTTTTCAAGTTAAAATCTTTTGCAATGTAGCTTGCATGTTATGTTATATCAGCGAAAAATATGGCAATTCAATAAGCAGACCTTTAACTTGAACTATGGGCGATTGAATTTCAGGATGGGACTGATATGCGATTATTTTGCTTGACCTGATGTTGTTTTCACATTTTTCATGATCAAAGCCCATAATTTTGTCACATAATATGAAAGTAGATGCCAATTGATAGTAGATAGCGTTGTTATCTCAAAATTGTCGAAAATTAATATGGGACAAAATTAGATTTCAAAATTGATGACAATGACTAGGTTTGTGCAGAAATGCAATACATCAGAACATGCTTTAATAAGTAATTTGTATATATTAGGTTAGGTGTATATAGTAGTTATAGGTTAGTTGTAGTTGTAAATAGTAGTTATAAGTAGTCTCCTTTTTCCAATTCAAAACAAAACAATCCCTCCAAGGTGGTCAAACTCTAAAACAGGCCTGATAGCACTAGGAACTGTAAATAATAATCAAAATTTCAAATGTACTGTGTGGCATATATTAGCGCTAGCAGGTCTTAACTTGACGCTAAACGAGTCAACAAGCCGTGTGTGCAGCCCCCCGTTGTAAGCGCAATAGTTCAATGCCGGTAAACGGAGGTCTCTATGGCAACACTTCATAAACACACACGGGCAACTCTCCACTCACTTTCGGACCAGCTCGTAACAAGGTAAGTCGCACATGTACTAAAGTTGAAAAGACGCATCTGTTTTACTTGATAATTCATACGTGTAAACCACACAAACACACGAAATAAAGATCGTTTAAAGTTAAAAAAAAATGTCTATTTCGTGGTGGAGAAAGTTTCCCCTACCAACAAACGATTTTTGTATCCATGATGGAATGGCTATTCAGTATGGAAATCAGCAAAGATCAGAGGTCCAGCGATGTCCGTGGAAATGTGTCCAGACAAGCTTAAGGTCATCGTGGAGGGACGTTTTCCGGAGCACGACCCAAAGAAAGCGAAAGGATTGAAGCTGAAAAAGGCTTCCGATCCGGACGGAATTCCCAACGTGGGTATGTCGATTTCAGAAGGCGCTGTATGGCTTGAAGCAATCCAGCCGTGTTTGGAACCAACAGAACAATCAAATACCCCTGACTGTATTATACGATTGATGGGGCCAGAATGTTGTTCGTCACTATCTATGTGGATGACTTTTCGATCTTCACAAACAACACGAAACTGAACGATTGAAGAAGTTCCTGTGCTCGTGTTCCAGATTAAGGATCAGGGCCAAGCAAAGTTCTGCCTGGAACTTAAGATCAGCAGTGCTCTCATTTCAAAACAACCCAAATTTGGGTAGAATCCACCCAGATCAGTCAAAACTGAACCTACCCAAAAATGGGAAACTATGTTGGGAGTGACAAGTGGACATATGGACAACATCGACATGAATGCGAACGACTTTGTTCATTTGTCAACTTGCCACTCCCAACATAGTTTACCCATTGGGCAGGTGCAGTTTTGACCGATCTGGATGGATTCTACCCAAATTTTGGTGGTTTTGAAGTAGCGTGTAGGTAGCTTGGTTCAATAAAACAAATAAATTTAAAAAAAAAACACCTAATTGTGATTTGAAGAAGAACATGAAAGACTGTCTGTCATGCGTGCTCAAAAGAAAGAAAAATCAAGTTCGTCTAGAGAAAAGCGTTGAAGTCACTCGCTCCGATAAAACATCAACGTACCATTATATATCATATCTATACCTACACACCCCAAGGCATAACCTTCACAGCCACACTTACCTTGTAGTAGTCGACAATCTGCTGCTTCGTCAGTGTTTGTAGAAAGGCAACCTCCACCTGCGCCCGGTTGAAGTGATACTGCTGCAGGGCGATTTCGTTCAAAAACTTGGTAAACTGCGTCGATAACCGTTTCGGTTTTTCCAGCTTCATAGCGGCCAGGGCTTCCTTGTGCCGTTTGAAATCCTCGTCGGTCATGTTCTCCAGATGGTCAACCATCCCGTTCAAGAAGTGCTCTATCCTCTCTTCAACGAACGCCGGATGCTTGACGGATTGCACGATGACGCGAATGCCCTGCACGCCGTTCGATTTGCGCGAACCGCAGAACACAATGTAGCCCAGCTGTTCTTTGGTGCGCAGCTGGTTGTAGCACGGTTCGCTGAGGATTTGCGTTACCAAATCGACGTACACGTTCGATTGATCATTCTGCATGCCGCATTGGAGGTACAACTCGGCACACGAGCTTTTGTGATAGTCGTTGGTCGTTTCGAACAGGCAGTTTTCACCTGGGTGGGTTAATGGTCAATTTGAGGAACAAAATAATAATACGGACTTAAATGTATCCTTACCATTATTCAGCTTATATTCTCGCTTGAGCATTAGCTGCCTGGATAGCAATGGCAAAACACTGGCGTCAGTATTCTTCAGTTTTTCTTCAACTTTACCGGAAATTTCCAACGCTTTCTCTTTGTTTACGTTGCCGTAGATGAAACACTCCACATGCATGCGAGACAGTAGCTCGTCAATGAACGATCGTAATCGGTCCACGGTCACCACTACAACAATCAAAATTTTCAGTTGATTTTACATGGGAGCCTACCGGTATCATACTTACAGTCTGCAGCGTCGATCAATTCCTGTTTTGACCAGGCTTGCTCGGTGAGCAAGAGGGCCAAATAGTAAACGGCATGCTGGAACGGTTGCTCAGCTTGGTAGTTTTTCAAATTTCGGACGTACTGTTCCTTCAAGATGTCAAATCTCTTCTCGTCAATCTTGAAACTGTACATATCTTCGAGCACCTTTTCCAGCAGGATGTGCTGTTTATGGCTGTAGCCACCAATGGAAACCTATAGAATTATTTGTGACAATACAGATACCTGTTAGAAGGAACTGAAGCGGTAGAACTTACGCTGACGCCATAGGTTGTATTGGCCACCATCAACCTGAGACCGGCCAGATCGGCTGCATACAGATACTCGTTCAGATGATCCTTGAACAGCTGTACGAACAAATGCGTAAGGTTACAGTTCAGCGGATCGGAGTACACAATCGGACTGCAAAAGTCCAAATTCATCAGCGTCTTGGGCTTGAGAAATTCGACGTCCTGTTTGAACCACACACGTATCATCGGCGTATTGTGAATAATCATCGGAATGCTCTGGATGTCGGCATCCACCGGAAGCAGCTCGAAATCGGTCGGAATGAATGGATTACGCTCCGGCAGATGCAGTTTATCGTTCAGGTCCGCTTTGGCCCAGTTCTGGAGAAAAATAAATAAATCCAGAACAATATCAATGATAGGAATTCAGACACTCACCTTCAAAACGGTTGCATCGATCTGCTCACTGGAGTACTTTGTACCATACCACTCCTCCTCACAGTTGGCCTTATCCTCACACTTCTGCCCCACGACGGTAATTCTCGCATTCTGTGGGTAAAACTTGCTCCACAGATCTTCAATCAAATCCGGTCGCCAGTCGGAAATCAAATACGGTGCCGCCAGGACCTCCTCCAGCGGGTAGCTTTGCATCGAGTGCACCACATTGGAAACCAGCGAAAGGGGATTTTCCTTATCCTTGAACCGGAACTGCATCTCGCACAGATCACAGTACTCGTCGAAAATCCACTTCTGAGGACCTTCTTTCTTCAACATACTGATATATTGGAAAATAATCTTCACAATGTCGTCAACGTGCTCAAACCCATCCTGCGTTAGATCGACCATCACCTCGAAGAATCCAAACCCACGGCCAATCGTGCTATATCCTCCAACAAGATTATTGCACCAACCCTTGGCCTTCAGTTCCGACAGAATGCTCCCTACGCCCTCATGCCCTATCAAATGACTTGCATAATGCTCCGGTCCAGCTTTGTAGTGCCGCTCCAGGTCCTCCGTCTGGAACGTGATTGTTAACGATCGTGAGTCTTTTACCGGAACAACCATCGTCTTAGTGGCCAGGTGATCCTCCTTAAAGGGCAAATCCTTCCATTGAGGGGACGTCACATTCTTATTCTCAATCCCTGAGAACATCCCTACGACCATGGCTTCCAAATCATCCAGCGACTCCTTTCCAAACACGGCCAAGCTCATGATGTTAGCCGAGTACCACTTGGAGTGGAAATTCATCAGCTCCTCCCGAATGTTTATATTACTGATTTTCGGATCCTCCAGCAGCGTTTTCTTACTTCCGGTTCCAAACTTATAGTATGGATGTTTCGGGTCACAAAGAGACTTATTGACCTGCCGTATCCGCCAGACGTCCATTGATAGGTTCTTCTCATGTTCCGAGTGAACCGCATTAATCTCCCTCTCGGTGGCCGATTCCGTGAACAAAGGTGCAATGAAAAACTGCGAAAATCGGTCCAGCGCTTCCGGTAGCTTCTCCGGAACGACATCAAAATAATACTTTGTCGTATCGGCGTAGGTCGCCGCATTTGAGCTGCCTCCGTTCTCTGACAAAAACGACATATAATCGTTCTCGTTCACATACTTTTTCGTCCCCAAAAACAGCATATGCTCGCAGAAATGAGCCAATCCGGGAATTTCGTCCGGATCGCTCAGGTGGCCGACTTCGACTGACAGCGCAGCCGCAGATTTGTCCGTAGTTGGATCGGAAATCAGCAGCACCTTTAGCCCATTCTCTAGCTGCAGTCCACGGTAGCTACGGCTGTCCTGCTGTGACTTGGTTATATTATCGAATCGCGTCAGTTTTCCCGCTGCCATCGCCACCGTCCCGGACGATAGCTTCGGAAGGGGTGCATTGTTCGCCAGGGCCGTCTCCATGATGGTGTTTGCACTTCCGGTTTTATTTGCTCTACTACTGTTGTGCACAAATCTACCCGACGCTCGAAAGAGGAAAGAGTTCCTACAACATAAAATTAAAAACCATCAAAACCATCAAAACTGATTTAAAAAATCGATACAAATTTTGCACACTAGGGTTTATATTTTGATGTAATCACCAAAACTTCCCCATTCTTCCTTTACCTTGCTATAAGCGAATTTCCCTCACGTACGGTCCATGAGACGCGACTGCAAAGTTGTTGATACATTAATCGAAAATACGGAAAATAAAACCTTAACTTATTCGCGTAGAAAAGAAAGGGGCCACTAATTTCCTATAAAATTAATCCTTAAAATAATATTCGGTGATTGTTCTGCAGCACAAACAGTAATTTTTCCACTACCGTCTTGAGCGAACTACGAATGGGCTGAAAGAGAAAATTGCTGATGACAGTCTCAATGATGACAGTAGTTCATCATCTAAACACAGCACGGATACTGGCAGCAGTGCAGCCAAACTGGACTGAATCATTTCATTGTAATGTCGACAGGGCTGCGCTAGAGCGCCTATCTAAATTCATCTACCCGACTTGAAAAGGTGTATTTTGTATTTGTTCGTACACAGCAAAAAAAAATGTAATATCGATCAACGTAATTCAAGTTGACGTATGAAATAATGATGTAATAGCAAAAAGCAGATACAATATTACATCAATGGATGTAATTTTGTTCGCAAAATCGATGTACATCGTACAATGTGATATTACACAACCGATGGATTGACCTGGTTGCAGCAGTTTCGATGTAATATTCAACAACTTTTTTTGCTGTGTATTGATGTATTTTTAAGTTTTGTGTATTTTTGTTTATGAAATGTATTGGTGTTCATTATGAATTGTGTTCGTATTGGTGTTCATTATGAATGTGTTTTTCATGTACAAAGGATTTACCTATTTTTTGTGTATTTTCCGATATTTGTATTTACAATTCACACATCGTGGGTCCAGGTCGAGTCAAGGTATACATAAAAACCCGAGATTTGGAACAGCTTAAAAAATCATTGTGGACATTTGTTCACATTTAATCTCGCATATAATCACCATTTACCTGTTACCCTCCCTGGCAGACGAGAGAGCTACGTAGGTTGAAGTCAATCAAGAGAGCAGCATTGAGAAGATTTACGAAGTATCGCACGCTTCCTATGAAACTACATTATGTAAGGCTGAATCACATGTACCAGCGAGTCAGTCGTGAATGCTTTTCAAGTTTCCAACGAGGCATTCAGCGCAAACTTAAGCTACACCCGAAATCCTTTTGGAACTACGTGAACGAGCAACGCAGGGAATCCGGCCTCCCATCGTCTATGGAATTCAACGGAGAAGTTGCTGCCACTGTTCAAGATATATGCCACCTTTTTTCCGAAAAGTTTTCCAGTGTATTCACTAATGAGACACTAACTGACGACCATATTAACCTGGCTGCCAGGAACGTTCCAGTAAACGATCAAACGCTGGGTGCAATTGATGTTAATGCAGAAATGATGTCTAAGGCTACGGCTCTGCTCAAGTCATCCTTCAATCCTGGACCTGATGGAGTTCCATCTGTATTTTTGAAGAGACATATTGCTAGCTTGTTAATTCCGCTTCTTCGTCTGTTCCGAATGTCTCTCTCAGGTGGCATATTTCCATCTGGCTGGAAATTTGCACACATGTTTCCCGTCCACAAAAAGGAAGGAAAAGAGCTGTGGATAACTATCGAGGAATTACATCGTTAAGTGCCGTTTCGAAGCTATTCGAGCTAGTGATTATGGAACCGTTGCTGTCCCATTGCAAGCAGTATTTGAGTGCTGATCAGCATGGGTTTACTGTCGGCCGCTCTACAACTACCAATCTGCTGTGTCTCACATCGTATATAACCGAAAGCATGTCGGATCGGGTTCAAACGGACGTTATTTATTCAGACCTATCCGCAGCATTCGACAAGTTGAACCATGCTATTGCGATTGCTAAACTCGGCAGGCTCGGTGTATGCGGTAATCTTCTGAGTTGGTTTCGATCATATCTTACCGGTCGGCAACTAAAAGTTGCCATAGGAGATTGCAGATCAGCTAGCTTCTTCGCCACATCAGGTATACCTCAGGGAAGCCACATGGGACCGTTAATTTTTATACTGTACTTCAACGACGTGCATCTGGTCATCAAAGCTCCTCGGTTATCATATGCAGATGACCTCAAAATCTTTCTACGAATCTGCTCCATTGCTGACTGTCACTTTCTTCAACGTCAACTGAATGTATTCGCTAGTTGGTGCAGGTTAAACAGAATGGTAGTGAACCCAGCCAAATGCTCCGCTATTACGTTCTCACGAAAACAACAACCGATAATATTTAGCTATGACCTGCTTGGCTCGACAATCGAACGCGTGAATCAGGTGAAAGACTTGGGTGTGATCTTGGATTCGCAGCTTTCATTCAAGCAACACATTGCATATGTTGTTGATAAGGCGTCAAGAACTTTAGGGTTCATTTTTAGGATAGCTAAAAACTTCACTGATATCTCCTGTCTGAAATCTCTCTATTGTTCGCTTGTTCGATTGACGCTTGAGTATTGTTCAGCGGTTTGGAACCCAAACTACAACAACGGTGCCGAGAGAATTGAATCTATTCAACGTCGCTTTCTTCGTTTTGCGTTGCGTAGATTGCCTTGGAATGATCCATTTCGATTGCCCCGTTACGAAAGCCGTTGTCAACTTATCAACCTAGAACTTCTCCGGGCTAGAAGAGACACAAGCAGAGCCCTAACCGTGGCCGATATCCTGCAAGGAAGGACAGATTGCGAGGCTATCCTGAGGCAAATTGACCTGAATGTTCATCCCCGACCGCTTCGTAATAACCTTTTGCTAAGACTGCCTCTACGTCGCACAAATTATGGAGCGTACGGTGCGATTTGCGGACTGCAGAGAACATTCAACAGAGTTGCATCTGTTTTCGACTTTCATCTCTCCCGTGATGCGCTTCGTCGAAAGTTTTCTTCTGTTTTTCGCCGGCAGGAGTTAAAATATTGACTATAAGATATACGTTTTTTAATGTTTTTTTTTATGTTATGACCATGCTTGAATGTATTTTTTTTACCATAGTTGATAAGGTTTAAATCATTGAGGCTTCATCCAGCCTGTTGATGTAAAATAACAATAAGTATTTTTTATAGTTTTACAATTGTAAATCACCAATATTACCAAACATTCTGCTATTCTACACTCGATTCTACATAAAGCTACTGATGTTCAGAAACTTTTACCTCGACATTAACTACAAACTACAGCCCGAAAAAAAAATATTTTACAAAAACAACGAAATTACACTGATTTTTACAGATTTTTACTGTTGAATTTCGAGTACATTAAAATCTATTGTTAAATTGTTGTACGGGAGAAAACGTTAATTTTGATTTTTAACGATACAATGCTCATTAGACTGATGCAAAATTTGACTTTTTCGCTCCACAGTGCTTAAATGGTTTCAAATTGGGTCCTGATTAGCCTCCCAAAGTTACAACTCATTTGGTTGGAAACAGACTTCGCACAAGACATTTGAAGTTTGCATGTAAATTACTATGGGAAATCTCAGCTTTTTTGTTCATTGCCTTCTAGTCTTTTTTCCATATTGAGCTGCGAAACAGTTCGATAGCCATTCTTATAGAAAATTTTCTCAGCTACAACTTTGCTCAAAATCGTTTCTATGTAAAACGAGACAGGAAAAAGATATTAATTATTTAAGAGATTGGTAAACTTATGACATGGACAAGCAGCTGCTCTGTAGGCAACACTGTATTTTGCAGTGTGACATAGTAGACATGATTTTTGTGTCCTATTCAACGCCCCAGAAACATCAATGTTGCCTGCTGAGCAGTTGATTGAGCATGATCATAAGACATCAGCGCATTGAACCATTGATAACTTTCGATTCTTGCATTTAATCAAAAAGTGGTCTTCAGCAAAGTTGTAGCTTAAAATTTTTTTTGAAGCAGACCAATATGGTGAATTATTAGATAGACATGAACAAAAATCTTGGGTTTACCATAGTAATTCCCATACAAACTTTAAATGGTTTGTGCGATCTCAGTTTCTCACCAAATGGGTTCAAATTTTGAGAGATTAGTCAGGATCCGATTTGGAATCGTTTAAGTATTGTGGAGCGAAAATTTCAAATTTTGCATCACTCTAATGCTCATACCCATACCATGAAAATTATTGATATTATGGAAATCGACATAAATTTTCAATGTTTTGACAGTAAATATTATGTTTTTTAATTGGATTGTTATACGTGTGTGTGTACGGTAACTGCAACAATCAATACGAAACTATCGATTTTAAATTGGCTCACTACTTGACTAGCCTATTGGTTCCAAGCTAACGATTAACGTACCCAATTCTAGTTAAAATTCCAGTACTACACTATGTTTGTTTTGAATCGCTATGAAAGTTTGACAAATAAAATGAGAGGTTCGTGGATTTTGCTATGTTTCGAGGGGTGCATCAATTAGCTTGGGACCGAAGAGAGTACCAGAGCTGAGCCAAAAAGATGAGCACGTTTCTTCGGGACCTTCTGGTCTTATGGCTGTAAGCTCCAATCGGTATTATCCTCGGATTAAATCCTGATCAAGAATGTCCGGCTGCTTTGATGTCGGCATCAGAGTTATTCTACACGATGCTATGCAAACAATTCGCAGATCTTTCAAACAGGGACGGTATTAAAAGTTAATCCGAGTTATAGCTTACCGCCATTAGAGTTACCTCTATGGTAACAGCAAGTCCTGATTTTCATCAACAACAGAATGCCTGATTGTCTTCTTTATTAACGTATTCGAGTCTCATTCATTGAAAATACTTCGTTTTAATTTTATTCATTTTTTTTTAAGGAAAATAAACTTTGTTATTCTTTCGAGTTACTCTTAACAGCCATAAAATTGGTAAAAGGCAAACGGTGATTGATCTAAATTATTGGAAGCGCATAAGCTGCACAGCAAAAAAAAATGTAATATCGATCAACGTAATTCAAGCTGATGTATGAAATAATGATGTAATAGCAAAAAGCAGATGCAATATTACATCAATGGATGTAATTTTGTTCGCAAAATCGATGTACATCGTACAATGTGATATTACTCAACCGATGGATTGACCTGGTTGCAGCAGTTTCGATGTAATATTCAACAACTTTTTTTGCTGTGTGGATTAAAATTTTGAAAAGTTGTGCAATATTTTTCGGAGTGTATGAAATTGCTTGACAGAGGCTAAAGTACAGCCCTGCCTGATTACGCTGGCAGCCGTGAATGCAAAACAATCATTCAAACTGATTATTTTGATCCAATCGCAAAATGTAACGCATTTTGTCTCAGTAAAAAAAGAAGCGAATTCCTGTGATTTGTTTTAACGGAAATAAAAATGTCCCGAAAGTCGTTTCCTTCCAACACCCAGCCGATGTACGTCCTGGAAGAATCGTTTTACCCGGATGCCTGGCGAGATGATTCGCGGATGGGAGTGCTGCTGACCGAATTTCGAACCCGAACGGTTAATCCGGAAAACTATGACTCAAAAATGAGATTCTGGAAGGAGCTGATTGTGAAATACTGCGGACACGAAGGATCCGGATCGGTGTCGATTACCGAACTCAAGCGAGTGTTCAAAAGGAAAGGTACGAGCCCGTACTGTCTATCGACGGTTTTCGAAGATATGATGAAGGAAGGGCAGCTTGTGGCTAAAGTTGAATTCTTGAAGATGCCTCAGGAAACCTGGAGCGGCTGGGCAGTGGATGTGATGGTGAAACGGCCCTTTGGTTGGGGATTCGGTAAGGTGAAGGAAAAGTTGGTTGGCAATGTTCAGGATGAGAGTGCGGAATTTATTTGCATGGAAGTTATAAAGGTACCTATGTTCTGAATTTTTGTTTTCTCAAGGTTGCCTAATAATTTGAAAATGTTGGTTTCAGAGTCAATCTAATATGTTGGAGAAGCTGATACAGAAAGAGAATAAGTACAACGTTCTCCTATCTAGAAGTAGTCTTACGGAGCTAGTAAAAAAATTGAACCTTTCTGGTGAAGCAATTGATCTCGTGCTGCACCATTTGCTTTGCCGACAGCGAGTCTTTATGGAAAAACTACCATCCGAAGAGGATCATGAGAAAAAGGTCCTGCTAAAATTCGCGGTACCTGGAGCGCAAGCCCAGCCCATTACGGACATCGAACGATCCATCTACAATCTGGAACAAACCGAACATGATCTTATGAAGGTCATCGAAAAGCTAGAGCAGAATATCTCCGACACGATGGTGGCCGTGAAGCAGAATCTACGGGACGGAAAGAAGCAGCTGGCTAAATCAAATTTGAAAAAGATGCACCTTCTGGAAAAGAACCTGGACAAGAAGATGAACGTATTGGATAATGTGCAAACCATGGTGTCTCGAATTCACGACTCGCAGAGCGATAGACACGTTATCGATGCATACAAGATTGGCTCGAATGCTCTGAAGACTGCGTTTGCCGATTCCGGTATTACCTTGGACAGTGTAGATGACACCCTGGCGGAGATGAAGGAGGTAAGGAGGATGACTTTAGTTTCAACCCGATTTCGTACCATTTGCACAACTTATTTCCTTTTCACAGATTCTGGAGCAACAGGATGAGATGCAAACGATGATTAGCACGCCACAAAACACGGACGTCGACGATTTGGAGCTGGAGCAAGAGCTCTCCGATTTGATCGATGTGAATTTGGCTGCGAACAATATTGTGGCCCCACCGGCAACACCCGGAGTGGCACCCCCCACTATCCCTGGTGCAGGAGGACCCGGCCAACCTACTCTCGCACAGTTGAATGAATTCGATAAGGAAATCGAAAAGAGATTGTTGGCCTTGAGAATGGATGTACCGTCACCGCCCCCGTCGGATACCTCGATCAGTGCTGGGACGTCAGTCCTGCCAAACAACAATCTGCCTTCCACACGTCCTGCGTTTATGTTGAATTGAATTTTTTTTTTATTGAGTCTAGGCTTCAATTATTTGGTTTGCTTTCGATTATTGATTTTCAATATTCTGCCTGTACAATCTTCGAAGTCTCAGACAGGGTTGTTACAACTGATGCAGATATCAAAGAAAATGATTGTTATGATTGTATTTTTCAGCCGTTAATTCACTTTTAATTCAAGTGTTTGTACCAGCTATTTTAAAAATATGTTGTTCAGCAAGTTTTTGGTCGATACATATTGTGAAGAATCTGAATACAGGGTTGACCCAAATAAGTGAAGCAAAAATAAAGAGGTGTAACTTTGAATCGGAAAGATATTTTGGAATGGTTCTTTTACGGGGGTTTGTTTCTAACACCTTAGGAATTCATTAATTTTGTTCTGTATAAGTTGCTTTGAATTTGTCAATCCCCATTAGAGAAGATCCTTCCTTCTTTTAAACATGAGCAGTTCTCTCGAGAACTTTTGAATATTATTAGTACTTGAATGCTTGATGGGAAATCATATAAGAATATCAGATGTTTCAAAAATTTGTTGAGAGTTCTACAAAGTTACAAATGCTGGGGTCAAAATAAGACTATTTTCAAACGATTCGGGCTAGCGACGTTAGGGAAAGTGTCATTCGGACAAATGTTATATAATCGTTATTCATACGTCAAATTGTCGGCGCCGCCGGGATGTTCTGATGTATAACATCTCTGAAGGGAAGTAAAGCCGTTGGTCCCCGGTTCATGAGTTGATGAGTCGATATGTAGGGTCCAGGTATGGGAGCTGCCTCCCTGGCACGTCGGTAGCATTGGTGCTCGGCACGGAAAACAAGATCGACGGAAAAAAACAAACCAAAACGAAAAAAAAAAAAAAAAATGTGTGTTGAATGGGTGCGATATCCTACGCAGGTGTGGAAGCTGCCTTTCTGCACATTCGATTGCCGTCAGTGGATGGCAATCGATGTCCATCGGTGATTGGCACTAGATTGCGGAACAAAGACCGACGTTACATAAATGAATGAAAAACTGCCTCGGTTATTTGGGACAACCACCCTGTATACTAAATAGAATATTAATACTCCCTTACTTGATATTTTGTAGCTTGATATTTGCCCTAATTCGATGAAATTTAAAGTGCCTTCAATTTTGCAAACATTGCTCTCTCCCTAAAGAAGGTTACCCAATTTATTCCGGTAATTTTAGATAAAGCAGTTGCATTAAAATTTATTAGTGAGATTCAAAATTAAGCTTAATTGTAAAATTGTGATCTGCTTCAAACATTTTTGGATAAAATAACATGTGAGTTTTTAAATCAATAAATCATAAAAAAAATATTCAACTTGACTAATTTACGAATTTACATAAATTCTCATTTCATGTCAAAATTATAACTTAATATTTATTTATTTTTTTTTTTATTTCGAATATTTCCTTAATGTCCTGTAATCAGACCTGGTAAAAATCACGGCCGTCATGTGACAATGAGAAAACAAGTCCTGTCACTATCACGAGCTACTACCTATCATTAGCTTTCTTGTCATTTTCCAATGATCAAGCTCTCATGAGAATAATTCTTATGCGGTTTTTACATCTACATTTCTAAATGATTTAGATTAATTCAAGCAAGTAACCGTATGTAATCGGTAGAGTGAATATATTATTACGAATTTCTCGGTACAAGTAACTTTAAAAACAAAAAATGAGTTAGTAATAACGATGTCATGACGAAAAATTCGATGAGATTTTGAAGAAAATCTCTATCATCGTTTTCTCATCCGATGACAGTGACAGAAATATCTCTGTAAATATCGCGTGGTATCTTTCATTGAAAATGACATTTGTCAGCCCTGCCTGTAACTCGATACTTCTCTAAGTTGATGGTCCCTTGAATAAAGAGTAAGGAAGAGTTGACTGTATTTAGAAGTTAATTTTAAATCAATTTTGAAAATCATTTCAATAGATTTTTATTTACTGCTTTTCGAAATCTCCTAAAACTTTGAAAAATCTCGGGGTTATCGGAACTTAAGAAAACAAGAATCCCGAGGAATTTAAAGATATTCGTCATTTTTAGAACTACAGTAGAAATTCACTGGTTGGGTCACCACCTTGGCCCAACCACAGACAAACTACTGTAGTTCTTTAAATAAAACAAACTTTAAAATATAGTCACAGAACTCACTAACGACATCTCACGAGCTAAAGGCTGTACTCGAAAAAAGTTAGACACAAAAATGGTCGCCAAAAAAAAAACATTTTAAGTCGGATTATCTTCAAACTTTCAAGGAATAAACTACAACATTATGGTTAGGTTTCTACTTCGTTGCTTTATTGGATCTCCGTTCCATAACCGAGTGCCGGCACCTGGCCCTTGACACCCATCCATGGGTTGACGTCTTTTGGTAAAAAAAAATATTGTTGCCTCTGTACCAGTCTCACACCGGCCGCGCGTAGTGGCCGAATGCCAAATCCAGCCAAAACAGCGTCTCGCCTCCGTGAGCCCGCAGGAAGGGTGAGAGAGGTGCTTCTGGAGGCACTCGTCCCGGTAGATTTGCCTGTTGATGGTACCCGTCGTGATGTACGGCTGGCTCATCTTGCCGCACCCACAGATAGCCTGCCAAACCGAGAACTTTTTGGCGAATTAGTGCGCTTTCTTCTTCCTTACCTCCTCAGGAACGGCCAACCGTAATGTGGCAACGTAAAACTCCTGCCTCGGCAACAACTTTGATGTAAGTCTCGTCGTCCATCACGACGCACCTCGGATTCGGTAGCCACTCCCGGTACAGCCTTCCTGACGGGGGTTTTGGCTCTCGTGTTTTTTTTTTGTCGTTCAAATTTTGTGCCTTCCGGAACTTGTAGACGTAGATTCCGGCACGTTTCATCGTTTTTTGGACAAACCAGATGGAAACATTCGGCTTCTTCACCGCATCGTGGACCGACAGCATTACGGAAAAAGTTTCGAGCGTGACAACACGTGTTTTTTCAAGCTAAGTGAATTTTTTCAAGTATTTGCGGATAATTTACGGATTTCGATTCAAGTGTTGAGAAATTGACAGACGTTTATTTTTGGAAGTAATTGTTTTACTGCGGAAGTGCTAAATAGAGTCGGAGAAGAGATTTGTTGAAAAGAGATTTGGGGGAAAAGGTGTACAAAAGCGGTACCGCCATATTGGAGGACGCCATGACATAACCTCATAAAATGGCAGATCCAACAAAGAAAAGCCCGGATCCTCCCGGGAAAAAGTATGAGATATGTGAATATAACCACACCGACAATGCCCCATATCCCTGCCCATATCGGATTATTGCCGAACTCGAAGATGACCAAGGAACCTGCAAAATTAACAAACTGACGCTAGGAAAGATACTTTCCGCAACAGCAGAATACAAAAACAATGTCACCAACATGAGACCCCTGGGACAAAAGAAAGTGTTGATTTTTGTTAAGAATTTTGAAGTGGCCAACAGAATGCAGAAAGACGAGAAGTTGAAGGAACAAAACTACAAGTTGTATGTTCCCAGAAGCTTCATTTCAGTCACTGGAGTTGTGGCTGGAGTGCCTACCGATATGACCGTAAAGGAAATCAAGGAAAACATGCAATGTCTAGTTCGAATCTTGGATGTCAATCGGCTTCACCGCTTCGTCGACAATGTAAAGACTGCTAGCAACAGGATCAGTGTTACTTTCAGAACAAGTAAGCTGCCAGAGGAGGTCAAGCTTTACTGCTGCCTTAACAAGGTGATGGCGTTCATTAACAAACCGGTTATCTGTCACAACTGTCTCCGATACGGACACAAGACAGACTCTTGCCGATCGAAAAAGCGATGCACGGTGTGTGCACTTCAACATGAAGGAATGGACAGTGGAGACTGTCCAAACCCAAAGAAGTGTATGTACTGCAAGAAGGCACACAGAACAACGGACAGTGAATGTCCAGAATGGTCAAGGCAAAGGAACATCAAAACCATCATGTCCAAGACGAACTTGACATACATGGAGGCACGGGAACTCAATCCAGTGTTGACCCAAAATCGATACGAAATACTCGAAAACGTGGAAGAATTCCCGACACCCGCAGACAGTTTCGCTGATATGGTTGCAGGCAACTTCAAGACTAAGAATCCACATCAGTATCGAAAGGAGAGGAACAAGCGAACACTACAACAGGAGGATGTCAACATCGCGGATAAAGTTCAAGTATTTGCTGACAAGAAGAAGAAGACGGATCAGGAAGGAGAGAAGAATGGCGTAGCTCTATTTAACAAGTATCGGGTGACGGACTTCGACCGCTGGGCTCAGAAATTCGAACAACTTCGTCAACAGAACATAACTCAACAGCTCGGTGCAACCGGAATGGACGTAGCAGAATCAAATAATGAAACAATCAACAAGTGTAACATGCCCAGCAGCTCCCAAACTGGAAAGCTGATGGGTTGGCCGGACTTCATACACGAAACGGATAATGTGAAACCGTGAGTAGTAACGTAATGATCAACGAACTTAGAATATTCCAATGTAACATACAAAGTTTACAAAAAAATAAGGAAGAACTATCTAGAATTCTCATACAAGATCAATATCATGTAGCGTTAATATCAGAAACATGGAGTAAAAAGGAACTGGAAGATACAAAGTACAAAATATCTAACTTTTATACGTATTTAGACTCTAGAGCAGACGGAAAAGGTGGTGTAGCCATCATTATCAACAACAAATATAAATCAAGAGAAATATCAGTCCCCACTTTCGATAAAATACAGTGCTTAGCTAGACAAATAGTATCTTTAGACCTAGTAGTAGTATCTATTTACATTGCTCCTAATGTAAACAATACAGACCTCAAAGCGAGCTTAAGGCAAATATATGACAGGATCAAGTGCTACCGTAAAGTTTTCGTTGGCGGAGACTTCAACGCACACCACTTTACATGGGATAAGCGAATTTCGGATATCAAGGGTGCCATAGTAATGGATGTAATCAACAAATCAAATTTCCTATTACTTAATAAAGGAGACCCTACTTTTGTTCCGGCGGAGATGAATAAGCGATCAACGACCATAGACTTGGCTATGGCAACGTCAGCTTTATATCAGGATTTGGAGATGAATGTTTTGGATCACGGGATAGGAGGCAGTAGACATCTTGCATTGGTAACCACACTGCATGGAGTGCCAGACAAACCAAATCGACATTTCATCAACAAAAAGAAAATCCATAAGCAACTTAGGAATTTGGATACGAACGAAATAGGAAACCTGAAAGACCTGCAAAAGAAAGTAAAAACAATAGTTAAAAACTCGAAACAGAAGGATAAATACAACCCAAAGTTCTGGTGGAACGAGGAGGTTGAATCAGCTTGGAAGGTCAAAAACGAAGCCCGAACTCGCTACAATAAAACGAGTGGCATTACGGAGCTATTAGAATTCAAAAGGGCAGAATGTTTATTCAACAAGGTGAGAGAACGGTCCAGAACAGAAAAATTCAACGAATTCGTAAAATCTATAGATCCTTCCACACCATCTAAACTTCTATGGAGTGACATTAGAAGACTTACAGGCAGACAGAAAAACAGAACAGGTAATGTTTTGATTCATGAGGATAGGAGTTTAGCAATACAGTTCATGGATAAGCATTTTCCACTAGAGGACGGGATCGATACAGAGTACAGTCAGTACTCAACAGATCGCGACATCATCAACAGCGAAAAATGGAACTACTTTTTGGAAAAAAAGAAGAAAGCTTCTGCTCCAGGTCACGACGGAATATCTTATGATATTCTGAAACAAATTCCTAATGCAATACAGGATACAATAATTCGGGAATTGAACGGGATATGGCGAACGGGCAGAATACCCGCAGAGTTGAAAACAATATCTATAGTGGCTATACCCAAGTCAGGCAAAAATCCGGAAACTTTGGAAGGTACTCGACCGCTATCAATGCTAAGCTGCCTAATCAAAACACTGAATGCGGCCGTACTGACGGAATACCAAGAGTTCTTGGACAAAAATCAACTATTACCGACACTGTCTTTCGGATTTCGAAAGAAGTTATCCACAAATACATGTCTGTCTTTTGTAACTAATGAAATATCTAGGATTAAAAGAGACAAGAAAGTTGCAGCGGCCATATTTGTAGATTTGTCTAATGCTTTCAACATGGTTAAAATTGATACGTTGGAACAATTACTTATCGAGCAAAGAACTCCCCAAGAATTTTCAAACTACTTCATTGCTTTCTTAAGAGAACGAAGACTACAACTACAAGTAGGTAGCGAGATCATTACAAGAACTGTTAGTAACGGTCTTCCCCAAGGAGACATACTATCTCCTACATTGTTCAACGTATATACCGCAAATCTTCACTACATTAGAATTGATGGCGTGATCCTGGTGCAGTACGCGGACGATTTCGCGATACTATTGGAAGGAAAAAATATTACAGATGTTCAGAAGAAAGCACAGGAATTTGTAACACAATTTGAAGAAAAAGCAAAGCAATTAAATTTTGTTATTAACACCGATAAAACCAAAGCTATGGTTTTTCAAGCAAACGATAAAACTCTAGACGTAAAAATTAACGGTAAAAACATTGAAACAGTCAACACATATAAATACTTAGGTATTACTCTTGACAAATCACTTCGATTTCGAACTCACATTCGCGACCTGAAACGACGCACTATAGACAGACTCAACATGATCAAAGTGATCAGTAGTGCTCGCGGAGGAGGACACCCGAGTACCCTGGGACTGGTTTTCAACGGGATTGTAAGAAACTTCGTAGAATATGGTTCTGGAATCTACGGAATTGCCAGCAAGAGCAATCTTGAAGCTCTGAAAGTCGTTAACAACCAATGCCTTCGAAAAATTACAGGCTGCACGAAGAGCACACCGTTGAATACTCTACATGCAATAGCTGCACAGGAACCTCCAGAGTTCAGGAGAATATACATCATCGGAAAGGATTTAGTTAAACAATGCCACAATGGATCTGTGGTATGGAATCAACTAGAAAATTCGCCACAGAAATATACGGAAGGCTCCAATAATTTTACGTTCATAGAAAAATTACTAGAAGAACACAGACCTATTTTCAATTTACTATCACGATCAGTGAGAAGCACAGATGCAAGGAACTACGTAGCTATCGAAACTAATTTGCACGACGGAAGTTGGAGAAAAAAAGTAACATCAGAAGTTGTCCTTAGACAGCTCACACTAGGATTGATTCACGGGAAGTACGCTGGACGTCAAATTATTTACACTGATGCTTCCAAGTATCAGGATACATGCGGCATAGGTGTATTCCATGAAAGAGGACATTTCCGACTATCATTGAAGTTACAAAATCCAGTTTGCATCATGTCAGCAGAAATTGAGGCTATATACGTTGCTCTTCAATACATTACACGCAATCAGCTACAGGATACAGTTATAATGACTGATTCTAAGTCTGGTTGCCAATTTATCCAGAATGAACAATTAGCTCGAGAGCGTCATGAAACCGTGGAGAATATACTTCGTATGGCGTCAACATCGCGAACCAGCATCCAATGGATCCCTGGACATGTGAAGATTGCAGGCAACGAGATAGCGGATCAACTGGCGAAAGCAGCAATTATACAGGACACAACAGCTAAAAACAACATTTTCACCCACGACGCGATTAATTACTTCCAACAGGTTGCTGAGATCCGTTCTCAAGAATGGTATGTGAACTACACGGCGGAGCTAGGAAAAGGGCGAAAATACTTCGCATTACAAAATACAATCCCAGAAAAGCCATGGCACCACGGACTGGCTTTAGAAAACAGTGAAGTTCGCACTTTAAATAGGATTTTTTCGGGACACGATTACTCTAGATATGGTCTATATAAGATACACATTGAAAGCGATTGTCTATGCGACATCTGCGATGAAATAGAAGATGCTAAGCACTTAATTCTGTTCTGCATCAAATACGTAATTTCAAGAGAAAAATATGAACTAGATAGATTTAATACATTGGAAGAAATTTATGCTACGAAAGATGTAATTATTCTAAGAAACGTCACACGGTTCCTCAAAGAAATCAACAAGAAAATTTAAGCAAAGTATAACATCATCACCGAGGTGAGCTGAGCGTCACAGTTGACTGTGGGGGCTGTCAGAAATGACAACTGCGAAGAGGAAAAGTCCACGAGACTGGAAAGAAAATAAGCTGGCGATATAGCGGTTCTTGCTGTGCCAAACGGAGTGGTGTTTCCAAACACCAAAACAGAGAAAAGAAGAAGAAGAAGAAGAAGTGGACCGACAGATTCAGTCGACGCTTGAACAGACTCAACACCTTCATGGCTGGGTCAACTGTCTTCGGTTTTCTGCCGCAGCCTGCCCGCCGCTGGGTCGTCTGGCTCTCCTTGAATGACTTCACCACCCGGGAAATCGTCGAATGTGGGACGCATTCGAGAGTCGGATATTCCACGTCAACACACAAGATTTTTAGGCGGATCTGCTCTTGCTCCGATGCCATATCGATAACCACTATATAGACAGATTTGATGAATTTATGTCAGCATAAACAGCTAAAAAGTTACAAACTAATCAATGTTTCTCACTTTTGTCGAGTACAGTCTTTATTCGCGGAAGATAGCTTGCTTGCCAATGTCTCAAACAATCGAAAGCGTGTATAGGCACGTGATCTGTGGTGGGAGATTCACGACAAACAGACACTTTCTTCTCAATCGTAGTACACGCATTCAACGTTCAATTGAAATATTATTAGTTTCACGAATTCTCTGTCGTCTGGTGCCTCTATATATGCTTTTCGATTAACATCCGAAGTCCATCACTCAGCACATTGTGCCAAAATTAGATTCACAGCTTGGGTACATCCATCAGTACACCTTCAGCACAATCTCGTAGGCATTGGATTGTTGTAAATAAAATGGGAGCACTGCTGGACAACTGTCATTGAAGTTGTGGTCAGAACATTACGTGGTGTTTGACTGTATATTAGGGTGTCCCAAAATTTCACTATGTCTGGAAATCTGGGGGCTCACCCTCCAAATGATAGCTAAGGGTGTTACAAATAAACTTTTGTATGGCGGCAACTCTGGAAAATGTTGTTTAGAGGTCGCCCCGACGAGATTTTTGAATAAAAGTCCATTTTTCGTAGCTATTATCCAATATATTTATATATTATATATTTTTAATATATTTTTTTGAATGCTTTTTCCGATTGAAAGTTGTTGAGTTTTATGCTTGAATCGAAAGTACCTGTTACAATTACTCAGACGGCAAACGGTTTTTGGGCAAATACTTCCTCGCAATACCGGTGATGAGATCCGACTTGAGCTTGGTTTTTGGTGACATGATTTTCTTTTTTTGGTTCTGCTTGCTGCGGCAATCAAATGAAAATAATAAATTGTGTGATCCCTCTCCGCTCATATATCCTCCTATTGAATTCTAGAAACTTCAAAACAAATGTTATCAAGTGATTTGCAACGAAGTAGGTGATTTGTATTTATCGATTTCAATGATAGTTTGATTTGCTGGTGGACATACGGCAAGCACAGACAAACAGACGTAACTCTTTGAAAATGTTTTTCTTGAAAACATAGTATCTCAAAACATATAACGACATCTCTCAGGCTTCTCGCGGAAAACAAGCTTGCTCGCTAGCTCGCAAACAATATTGCACAAAAGTTCTATAGAATGTATAGAAACGTCAAAAAAATCCAATGCCAGCGCTGCGGCGAGTAGTTCGCGCAACTGATAATATTCAAAACAACCGTTAAATGCATGAACAAAGATACACAATGAAGAGTTACGTCTGTTTGTCTGTGCGGCAAGTATTGAAATTCTGAACTTTTCTTTCCACAGTAAATCACGAACAACTTTTTAACGGTTAAAAATGAGGTAGTGTCTTGAGCAAAGTTTTTGCTTATAAAATTTCCCATATTTCTGCTGCATTTGCTTGATAATAGCGCTATGTTTGATACCCACTTTTGATGATTGAATGCAGTGATGTACAACAAAAAACATCATTTTAGATAATTTGAAAAATTGTAACTAACAAATTGGACACAGAACATGCCGTAACATTTTTTTCGCTTATAGTTTTGACCCTTGGGAATCTGCGAAAAATATAAAAGGGTGAGATTTCTCTGAAATTTAAAGAACTAAAAATATTTATTGGATAATAGCTATGAAAAATGGACTTTTTTCAAAAATCTCGTCGGGGCGACCTCTAAACAACATTTCCCAGAGTTGCCGCCATACAAAAGTTTGTTTGTAATACTCTTAGGTATCATTTTGGGACACCCTACTGTATATTCAGGAACAGACCGATTCAGCCATCCATTTTCCGGAGTAGGATTGCCCGAGCACAACACTAATAACTTGACTCTTGAAATCGCAGAGCAAAGCCACGACTGCAGAGAAGAGAAGAAAAAAGTTCAAATTTTCCATCGTCCTGTGCGAGTGAAAGTGACAAAGGACCGCGACAACTAGAGGAAGGATTTGATTTTCCGTTTGTGTTTCTGTTGCGGCGCTGATGGCGTACGCTGCGTTTGAGTTTCTGCAAGTTCCGTAGGTGAATTACGAAATGAAATGCAAAGCGTAGAGAAAAATAAAACCAACCGGTCCGCACTCGTGTTTATTTCAGTTACCATGGGGACGTAATTTGTGATTAGCCCCGGTCCCTTTCAAATTGTATCATTATTTATGTACGACCTTAAATTTGAAATGACTTTTCACATTCATCTAGTGATGGTCGATTTTCATTCGAATAATCGATTAATCGATTAACAAACCGAAAATTAAGATATTTGTAATCGGTTATATCATGCTGATATAAGCATTAACCTCACCAGAGGATCATCACCCATCGTTTCAAACATATGCTGCACTCTCATTAGTGGAAAAATGACAGCACAGCGAACAAAAAATAATCGATTAGATATTAATCGAATAATTTAAAAATTGGGACATCTCTGATTTTGGTGTGATTGTGTTGATAAAAAAGAGCGCAAAATTTCATCTCTACCGAGGGGGAAGCAAAACCACAAAATTACCTTGCATACGGGGGATATTCATTGGATGAAAGGGACCGTGAAAGAGGACACTAAAATAGAAAGTTTTTCTTCCGACTGTTTCATCTTAGTATTCATCTTTGTTCAAGGTGTCAGAAATACCGGGTTGCCTAGATAAGTATTTTACAAAAAATCGCAGCTTGCTCTATGACCGCCACAATCGGCACACTTGCAGCACACTGACAAAAAAGATGACCCAAGATTGGTGTGCGGAGTGACCTACCCCTTGCCTGTCAGGGACGGGCCTTAAAAAGTATTTTTTATGCAGAATATGCAAAAAAGGATGGACTTCGAGTGTATTTTTTGTGTAGAATATATAAAAAAGGAAGTTCTTCGGATGTTGATCTAAATGTATACATAGAAGTACCAGATATGTTTTGCCCTGCACTGTCCTCTATGAACAGTTAACGGAAACATATTAAACTTAGTTTTCGATAGATGCCACCACAAACATCAGCAGTGACATCTGATGGTAAATTAATGCAGAAGATTGACAAAATGGTTAATTCGAAAAATACTGTGTCACTTCAAAAGACTTCGAAATCACTTCGGTAAGCACTGAAAAAATAGGATTGCTTCAGAAAGTACTGCATCACTGTAGAAAAGCTTCAAAAGTACTGCATCACTTCAGGAAATCTGAGACTCACAGTAATTCAGCGGATACACTTGCATGACAATCTATGCACGTGAGCATTATTTGAATAATAAATTATGAGCAAATCCAAAAACTATACAAGTGCGACCATGGATGTGCTCATAATGGATTATACAAATAATACTCATGCTCATAGTTGGTCATACAGGTGTATCCGTAGCATGAGTACTGAAGCGATTTAGAAAAGTTTGGTATTACATCGGCAAGTTCGGAATCTCTTTGGAAATCAAGTGTTATGTCCATATGCCTGTTCTAGTGTTAGTATGATCTTCCAGCACTATTTTCAAGAGCATTTTTGTTTTGAATTATTGACCGTAGGAATACTTGTTCCATGTAAGCAGTCGTCAACTGCACAATTCCGACGTCCAAGGCACTCGACAATCAATTTTCTAGCAAGCAAACCATTCGACTCCCAGGCTATAGCCAGAATAGATTAGCTGAACGTCCTGATCGAAATCGCCGACGCGTAAGTCTAGGCACTCGGCAGTCCGTCAGGCATCGCGGCTAGACGATAAGCGCTTCGTTGCCCCGTGCGGGAGGAAGCCTATTTTGGGTGACAAGTTCATTGTTTGCTAGTATTTTCCACCGAACGGACGTAATACTGGTTTTCGAAGGAGGATTAACGGACTGTCGAGCTCCTGGAAGGAGGAGATTTAAAATTAGGAAGTGTTCATTTTACCTTTGTACGGTGAGAGTGATAAGAAAACGAAATTGAAAATGTTTGACAATTTTTGTGTGTGTGTTAAGCAAGATGTTGTTTGAATATTGTGTACGCAGTACCAATAGAATTCCGTTGAAGTGCGTCAAACAGGGGCAATAAAAGTTTCAAGAGCTTTCGTGTGCAGTGGATAAGTGAAAACGTTGCGATTAGTGTTCTGAAAAACAAATACAAAAGGCATAAAGGCTACAGTCGTACTAAATAAAACAACTATAAATACAGAAGTCTGTCAGAAGAGTGTGTAAAGATAAGCGATTATACATTGATATCGATTAATTGATAAGAAGGAAGTGAGCGCGAGCATTGTTTTTGCCATTCGAACCAATGGAGAAATGCGATTAGTCTAAATCAACCGTTATTCCGAGCGGCGACATGCGATAGCAGAGAATCCGCGCGATAAAACGCAATGCACAAGACTTCACATGGCTTCCTGCGAGAACTGGTGGGTGTATGTGTTCAATATCAAGTGAGCGAGAAAAATACTGTCGATCAAAAACCGTAATCTGCACCGGAACTGTCGGTAAAGTTATAAAAGCCTATCACCAAGATTAGCAATGCCTGGTCATGCCGTGCAGCTACCGAAATCGAAAATAACGTCACGCTGTTGTGGTTCAGTACAGCTAGCTGTAGTGTTAGTTCTAGTCTTCTGTCTCACACAGCAGAACGATACAGTTGACGGTCTGCCCTGGTCGAATGGAGAAAAGAAAGAAGCTTTTAGGAACCGTTATCATTCAGCGACACTTAGTAATGGCGTTGATTATGAAGATATCATTCGCGCAAGGTTGCGATTGGGTACTGTCGTGGGACTTTCGCCTGTGACTTACATCCATGATATCGATGACAACGCATCGGGAAAGTTTATGTCAAATCACCTTTATCGGCATGTAGGAGGTCAACTGTCATCGTCACCGCGTGGCTTGGGGCCTATCATTATCAAGGGAGATAGTAGCACGGTGCAGCCCCTATTATTAGATGAATCCGACGGCCAGGAGTGTATCCTTGGGAAAGCGCACCACTATATGGAGAAGTGGTTGAACCAAAATGGAACAATCAATACGAAAAACAACAGTAAGTACAGGGTCAAGTAAGTTATAATGTGGACAGTTTTTCTTCACCTAAAGCGTGGTACTTTAATACCTATGTAGGTTCAAACTAAGCGATAAAGATTTTTTCTACAGAATATGTTTACAGATAATCTTGACAGACGTAGGCTCCTTAGACTCTCTCAAGCGATTATTCTGGGCGAGTCACACCATCTTATGCCTTGTTCAGACTACAGACTTATAATCTTCGACCAGAAAATTACATCAAGATAGGTTTATAACATGTTATAACTGCTCAGCCTATAATAGTACGTTCAGACTACAGAGTTATAACAACAGTTGCTATCTTGATGGTGGTTTCTGTGTTGCAATTATTTGACAACCGTTATAACATGTTATAACTCTCCAGTCTGGACAGCGTTTAATGCCTTGTTCAAACCCTGTCCAGACTGGAGAGTTATAACATGTTATAACGGTTGTCAAATAATTGCAACACAGAAACCACCATCAAGATAGCGCTATAACATGTTATAAAACGCTGTCCAGACTGGAGAGTTATAACATGTTATAACGGTTGTCAACTAATTGCAACACAGAAACCACCATCAAGATAGCACTATAACATGTTATAACTCTGTAGTCTGAACAAGGCATAACTCTGTAGTCTGAACGTACTATCAGACTACAGAGTTATAACATGTTATAGCGCAATCTTGATGGTGGTTTCTGTGTTGCAATTATTTGACAACCGTTATAACATGTTATAACTCTGTAGTCTGAACGTGGTATAACCATGAAAAAAGTTAAAATTCACCGAATTTTCTATTGGGGTCATATAACGCGAAGGGTCGAAAATCATTTGCTACAAGCAGCATTTCAAGAGCCACATGTGTTACATGTTGTTCTTGACCTTGGTTCGTAACATTGAACAAATAATTGCCGTCATTCAGTAAGACAAAAGCCGACTTCGAAGGAATACTTACTACATAAAAGAAGCATCACTCACTCACTCATTCAGCGATCAGCAAATCGCTGATTGCGACTCATAGAAAGCAAAATTTACAGGTTTGATGTTTCAAACGCATACTTTGTAACATTTTCTTGTAAGTTACAAGTAAAGCATGCCATCATACTATCTTTTGGTTTTTTTTATTCCGAAAAACATTATTTTAGCTGAAATGAGTATGTTGGGGCCTTTTCCATCCAACCCACAACATCGAAAGGGGGGTAAAAGCCTCTGGCTGACATATATTGCCCGGTGAAAATGGGGTCCAATATCCTGTCCTTCATGGTGTCTCACGGGAATGTTTCGGCCATCGTTGGTTACAAAAAACACGGGTTTTACATTACACTGACACTTTACAATAAAACTACTTTATTTAACGCACAACGTATTTACATTTATACATAAAACCTTTGATATTAGCGCCCAAGTAGGGCCCTTGGATCCGTTTACCATACCATGCAGATTGCAACTATATATCTAATTTTGTAGATGTAGGATCTACCCGATCACCCGTAATCATGAATCCATGACGCCACCGATCTCTCCAAACCGATCGATGATGTGTATCTTCTCTTGGTGTCCGTCGCAGAGAGTAGAGAGTTTGTCTACCCAGGGTTGTATCCTTGGGTGGGTGGTATTCACGCTGCTCCCGAACAGAGTATTTGCAACCTTGGTTCGATGTTGAAATGCTTACCGAACTGCTCCAATCGCTGGCACCATGGAAAACACCGGTCTCTTTACACTTCGCCGGGACTTCTTCTCCGCCAAGCCTAAATATTCTATTTCAAGCCACCAGGGTCGTGTCTAAGAGCTAAACCTATCCTTCAACCAACTCACCGATGTCAACTTTCAGGAGCTGACCAAGCAACATTTTACATTTCCATTTAACCTCCTTCGGCTGTGATGTCAGCTCCATCACGAATCTCCCAGCCACAAATCGATCCACCAACATCTTCAACGTTCCTTTCACTTCTTCCTTCAAGGTTTCGCTCACCCCACTAATCAACTCACTAATCACATTCTGAATCGGCATTATGACCAGTAGCAGTCCCTTCATGGTCATCTTTTCAATCAGCTTCCGGAACGATACCACCCCCTTCCCAACTTCGATCAAACTGTTCTGAAACACCAAAGCCTTCCGCACCAGATCGATCGTTATGAGTGGAGGTTCTCCGATCTCTAAGCCTTCCGGTAGCGACCCCAGCACCCCAGAATTCCAGTAAGACCCTCAGATTACTGTTGTACTTGGAAAAGGTCATCGCCTTGATGACCTCGCTCATCCTAATGTTTTGACAATATGTCCGCTGTGAGGAAATTCACGGTTGAAGTTATGAAATCAAAAATCGGATTGTGTCAACAACAATGATTATCATTTTGACACATGCACAGAGCAGGCGCAGATATAGTACAGTGTTACGTGTTACCAGTAACTTTAATATCATGAAAATTTCTAACCATGGGTGCCAATGAAAGTGCCCAGGTGTGTCCGTCTGTATTTTTGGAACACTGTGCGGAGTGACCAACCCCTTGGCTCTTCCGGATGATGTATAAAAACCGGTATGTTTTTCGAAATTAAACAACCTAATTAAATTTTAAAATGGCGATAAAACACGATTATGGTAAATGTAATTAGTCTAGCATTTTTCGCATTTTTACTTGAAATTCCACCAAAAATACATGTATGTACCGATTGGGCTGAAACCCTGGATTTTCCAATATAATTTAATGAATATTATGGGGAAAATATCAAAAGACCTGAACTCTCGCCTGAACTACTTGGGTTTTTTTTCAATGGATTAATGAAAATTCTGAGGTTTTGACAGAACTATGCTGTGGCTACCACAGTATTTTACATTTGATCGTCCATATACAGTAGCGCCAAAAGCATGCTGTGGTGTGTTCAAAACTTGACCATCTAAATTAATCCTCGCCAAAGTTCTTCCAAAAAAATCGTTCTAGCTACGATTGAAAAGAAAATTAATCAACGATTTTTGGAGTTCTTTTTAAATAGGTCGTATGTAGGTAATAAACGTAAACAAATTGTCATTTTAATGCTACCACCAGACACTACGCTGCTTACTCTACCTAAGGGTACAATATGGGCCCGCTATCTCATTTCTGTTTCATTTTCTCATCAAAAAACTTTTTGTCATATGTGCCTCCTAACTTCTATGGGGGTGTCAACAGAAGCGTAAAAACTGTACATACGACCAGTTGGTTTTTCCTAATTAAAGTGCAAATTTAGCAAATCTTCAATGTAAAACGATTGTGAATGATAACTGCGCTTTCCGCGAGATATTACTCATTATAATACATTTTTGAAGCGATAAAATGCACACGATCGAATGTAACATCACGGCATGGAAAAGGTCGTAAAATATTGATTGATTAAAAATACATTTGTTTTTTAACTGGAACGCTATAACTACCTTACTCAGTAGATAGAAACACTCCTGAGCTGTTAACAGTTAATGAGAATTTTGAAATTCTGATTTGTTTTCCGTTGATCTTGTTTTCCGTGCTCTTCTGTATGTCAAAACTCTAAGCATTTTGAATCAAACTAATTCCATACACATGAATCCTAATTCAAGGTTTACAACTTCTTCTCGAGGGGGCGATTTGATCTACGTAGCAGGAAAACGACTAATCGACACAATCGATCGAGAGTTTAAATGATCTTTATTTTAGTTTAACTTGGACGATTACCATATAAATTTTTACTAAGTGATTTAATTGCTTTCTTCATCTTTAGGTATGGGCAAAATTTTAAAATTTGTTTTACAGGATTAGTCCTAGACTTAGTACACGGTCGACCACCTTGGTGGGATTGGTTTGTTTTGTTTTTAGAATTTGAAGAGAAACTACTTAATACTACTATTTACAGCTTAAAACTAACCTACTCTACTATATACACTTAACCTACTATGTACAAATTGCTTATTAAAGCATGTTCAGAAAGATTGCATTTTTGAATAAATTTAGTTGTCATATCATCAATTTTGGAATCTACTTTGGGAATTTCTGCCTCTTGATGGAGGTCTGCTATTCTTGTGTCGAATGGACGATCTAGGATCATCCTCAACACTCTATTCTGTGCAACCTGGATTTTGTTCCTGTGGGTCTGAGCGCACGATTCCCACACCGGGGCGGCATAGAAGATCGCGGGGGCTATGATCTGTTTGTAAACAGCCAGTTTGTTTTGCCTTGAGAGGCGGGATCTGCGGCAAATGAGCGGATACAAACACCTAACCAAGGCGGAGCACTTAACTAGGGTTTTCTCTATGTGCGAGCGGAACAGGAGCTTCTCATCGAACAACATCCCGAGATAAGTAACATCAGTGGACCACTCGACCCTTGTACCATCCATTATTACGGTACAGGAGGGAGACGGTTTAAGTTTTAATGATTGTCTGTGAAGGAACATGATCGCTTGGGTTTTCGAGGCGTTGATTTTGATTTTCCACGTGGTGGCATAATCAGTAAAGGTGTCAAGGCATCGTTGGAGCTTGTTCGTAATTTCACGAGGCATCCTACCCTTGACGGCTATCGCGGTGTCATCTGCAAACAGAAAGAACACGCAACCGTCTCCTAGAGGAGGGATGTCCGACGTGTAGATGCTGTAAAGCAGTGGTCCCAGCAGACTCCCTTGCGGAACACCTGCTGGGATCGAAAATTGTCCCGAAAGGGAACTATTCAACGACACCCTGAACGACCTTTGCTGGAGGTAGTTACGGGTGATTTTCACAAGGTATGGTGGAAAGTTAGAGTTACAAAGCTTGTATATAAGTCCGTCGTGCCAGACATTGTCAAACGCCTTTTCGACGTCTAACAAGGCCATGGCTGTGGACTTGGATACAGCTTTGTTACTTCGGATGTTATTCATCACCCGCACTAGCTGATGATTGGTGGAATGCCCCTTGCGGAACCCGAACTGTTCCGGAAGAAGAATGTCATGTTCCTCCACAAACTTGTTTAGTCGGCTGAGGATCAATTTTTCGAACAGCTTGCTCAGCGCTGAGAGCAGGCTAATCGGTCTGTAGCTTGACGGTAGTGAAGGGTCTTTCCCAGGTTTGCGGATCGGGATGATTTTTGCCACCTTCCAGATGCTTGGAAAGTAGTGCAGCTCCAAGCATCTGTTGAGGATGGCAGCCAGCAGCGAGTGGACCCTCGGGCTGAGATTTTTCAACGCTAGGTTGAATATTCCGTCAAACCCGGGAGCCTTCATGTTTTTACTATATTTCAGCGCTGAGCAAATTTGTTCCTCTGTAATCCGTTCTTCTGGAGGGACGGCACAAGGGGAGGTATCTAACGTCTGGACGCACTGCACAACCTGGTTCTCGAGTGGACTTGGGATTGTAGAGCCAAGCAAATGCGATTGGGCAATGTGCTCCCCAATTGCATTGGCCTTCTCTTCGTTGGTGATAAGCCGTTCGTCATTGACTCTAAGTGGTGGAATGGGCTTGGGGTGAGACTTCAGCACCTTGGCAACCTTCCAGAATGGTCTGGAACGGTCGTCCAGGTTCTGAACGAGCCGCCCGAAACTCTCGTTCCGGATTGAGACCATTCTGGAAGCGATCTGCCGATTCAGATCGACCATTTCGTATTTACGCTGCAGATCCCCAGTCCGCTGAAACTGGCGTCTACGAACATTTCTGAGCCGAATCAAGAGTTTGGTGTGGGAATCAATTGCTTGAAACTTACCCCTCACAGGAACTCGTCGAACGCACTCTTCGTCAGCCACGGATATGGCTTGATGGAGACCCTCCAGAGCCCGGTCGATGTCCTCCACTGTGTCGAGTGGTGGGTTGTCGTCGATGTGGCGGTCGACCACGCGTCGAAACTGGACCCAGTTGACTCGATGGTAGTCCTTCCGCTGGCACGGTGCAGGGGCCACGTTGTAGCCCAGCTCGGTCAGCACCGGTTGGTGGTCCGAACTCAGGTCGTTGACGGCAACCGGCTTGGCTAATCTGGTGTTTGCCAAGAACAGGTCCAGCGTCGATGGGTTGCCCGCCGGTGATGTGAAGGTTGGTTCGTCCGGAAACCAGACGGAATAGAGACCATGCTGGGAATGGTCGAATAGCAGGCGGCCGTTTTGGTTCTGCTGGTAGTTCCGCCAGGCCTCGTGCCGGGCGTTCAGGTCCCCTCCGATTACGAAGCGGGCATTGGTGCGGGTTATGATGGCAAGGTCGTTCTTGAACTGCTGTGCTGTACCATTGCTAACGGTACATTGCCGGGGGCAGTAGACAACGATGAACCGGACGTTTCCGGTCGATGTTTCCACCTCAACGCCGACGGCCTCGATGATGGAAGTGCGGTAGTGGGGTAGGGTGCAGTACTTGATGCCTTTCTTGATGATGACCGCGACACCGCCCCCCCTGGAGCTGGTGCGATCAAGCCGGACAATGCTGTGGTCGGGCAGCCAGAAGCTGTCACCGGTCTTGAGGTGGGTCTCGGTGAGGAGGCCCACGTCGATGTCGTGCTTGCGGAGGAAGTCTGCAAGCTCAATGTTTTTCGCCCCTACGGAGCGAGCGTTCCAGTTGGCGATCTTTATGGGTTCACGGTCCATAATTAGCGACGAAGGAGATGATAGCTTGGAGCTGTTGTGTTCTTGTTGCGCAGGTGCGCTTGATGATGATGGCCTGGGCCAACAGTGTGACGATCTCATCCGTTGACAGCGGAGAATCGTCTGTAGCTTCACCGGTTGTACCGGCCAATCCCGGAGCAGGGGGATCCGTCGATGGGCCGGAGGCTTGACTGGGTACTGCAGCGGCAGCCGACTGGGCAGCAGCCAACTGTTGGTTGAGCGGGAGCGGCGCCAACACTGGAATTGGCCGTGGTTGGACCGGTGATAACGGAGGAAAGTTCTGCGCGTTGTTTTCCGGGACCTTCTTGCGACCGGGCTGGTTGTTGGACGAGGCCTTCTTCCGGATCTCGGCGTATTCGGCCCGCTTCGGACAGGCCTTACTCGTGGCCTTGTGGGCAGCACCGCAGTTGGCGCATGTGGGAGCGGCTTCCTCGATGCTGTCGCAGTCGTCGATCTTGTGGTTTTTGCCGCATTTGATGCAGCGGCTGGCCATGCGGCAGTTCCTGGTGCCGTGCCCGAACAATAGGCAGTTCGAGCACTGAGTGACGCCACGGTGGGTTGGCTTATACCGCTCCCACTTCACTACGATGTGGAACAGTGTGCGTGTCGTATGGAGATCCTTCACGGTTGTGGAGTTCTTCTGCAGATGGACCAAGTAGAGCTGGTCACGATACTTGATGGCCTTGCTGCGGGTCATCTTGTGGATTTCGACCGGCTTGAGGCCGTTCGCCTTAATCTCGTCCATTAAGGTGGTGGTGTCCATGTCGTGGAACCCGCGCAGCACCACTTTCAGCGGCTTGGTGGCCTCGACGTCGTGGGAGAAGTACTCCAGCTTCATCCTGTCCAAGAGGGCCTGGACTGCGTTGTAGTGATTTTCGGCCGAGACCATCAGTTTGTAGCCTTCCGTGCACCGTTGAATGGTGCAGCGAAGGCCCTGCTTAATGTAGAAATCCAGCTGCTCCCATAGCCCGGGAGGGAAGCCCTTCACATAGAAGGGTGGCAACTTAACTTTTTTAGGCACCGTCTCAGGGTCCGACTGCGGCTGGGCTCCGTTCTGCAGGGCGGAGAACGGATTGTTGCTCAGCAGCTTTTTTGCTGCCGATGCGGTGGCGCTGATGTCTTCAGGTCTGGGTCGTTTAGTTCCGGGAGGCCCCGGCTGCGGGTCCGCAACGCCTGTCGGGACGGGCAATGGGGTTTTCTTCTGCTTCTTCTGAGCTGGCTCGGTGGTCGCGCCGTCTCCTGGGAGAGTCTGTTTTCCCGGTAAGCCGGCACTCGCGTTACCGCGCGATTTCTTACCCATGGCTGGGTCAGCGAGAGCGTCACTATACAACGCGGAGCTAATTCGACTTGCGAACGAACGAACGAAACTAGAGAGAATTCAAATCGACTGAACTGCTCAACAGTCTGGCAGCGAATGATGATGAATCGATCGAGACCAGCTATGGTACATTATGTACGAATACGGATTTCCGGTTAAACTGACGAGATTTGTCAAGGCGACGATGGATCAAGTGATATGCGTTGTCCGAGTTTCGGGAACACTCACGAGTCCTTTCGAACCTCGAAGAGGGTTACAGAGCAAGGTGATGGGCATTCGTGTCTGGTGTTCAATATCGCCTTGGAAGGTGTGATCGGAAGACACGAGTGGTACGATTTTCAGGAAGTTCGTCCAGCTTCTTGCCGGTGACATTGACAAGGTTCAAAAGAAGACAATGTTAACCTCCCACCAAGAGTTCGTATTAACCGTGTTGAAATCGAGGTGGTAGACGAGTTCGTGTATCTGGGTTCACTGATGACCGCCGATAATGACACCAGCAGAGGAATCCAAAAACGCATTATGGCAGGAAGTCTTCCTTTAGAAATTTCATCAGCGCTGCTATACTTCGAGGGTTGTCTCTTAGGGCGCTCCGGTGCTGTCCGATATCGTGGCAGCATGGTATTGCGGGTAGTTAACAACGAAATGTTCCATCGTGATTATCACCTCGATTCTCTATTCCATTCGAAAATCCGTTGGTAAATGGTAAATCCGTTTCGAATGGAATACAGAATAGGAGTGTATCCTTATTTGAATTTGTAAGAAAATCAGCCATCTTTCGAGGACTACAATAAATCAACGCAAATCGACGAAGCTTTGCATGAGAAGAAATCATTTGCATGAAGTCCTTAACCAACAATGGATTCAAATGTCTTCATACCTGTTATTTCCCTTTCCGCAATGAATGACAACTAAAAAAAACAAATCACTACGCTCACTCTCACATGCTTATCAGTGCTGTTTCATGCCTTATCGAATCAGAAGTCCAAATAATAATTTATGAAACACTTGTTTAACAGAGCAGAGAACATGTCCCAAACCCTGTATTTTGCTACTGATTGTGCCAATTATCGCCTGCGTCTGATTTGTAATACAATACATCGGATAAGCCATATTATTGAATAGCATAAAGTAATTACTTCCACGGGCAATGCAGTCCTTGACTGTCCAATGAACCAAGACCGAATTGACAAATCGATTGTTTTTTTTTTCGTTCCAGATATCACCGGCAAATTTCTGGACCTTTCCCACAACGTCTCCACAATTATTATTAACGAAATAAAGCCTTTTCAAGCTCATCCAGATCGGAAGGTATTATGCTGATTGGTTTAATGAGATTGTTCACAACAAAAGTTGACAACTATTTAATGGTTTGCATTGGATTTTTTTCTGCTTTTTAGAAACTGGTTTATCTCTCCTTGGCGTACAGTGGTTTAAATACGGTTCCAAAAGTGGAACTAACACTGGTTAATGGAACACTCGCCTATTTGTCGTTGATGGGTAATATTCTCTTACGTAAGTACTTAAATACAAAAAATATTAGCTTCATAGGATATGTAGGTACTAACATCAGTGAACTTGAACGATTGCAGCATTCAACTTACCGGTGTTGCATAATTTACTTGTTCTGGATCTCCGGCACTGTGGCCTGAATAGGCTCCTAGATAAAGCATTCGTCAACACGCCAAATCTGCAAAAACTTTTTCTAGCCCACAACGGGCTGACGAAGCTCAGTGCTATCCACTTTGAAGGATTGACCCACCTTCAACATCTTGATTTGTCTTACATCGTGCAAAGTCAGTTGACCGGGCTTGCTGGGAACGAGCAGCAAATCGATCCGTACAACTCTCTTACCGAAGGGCTGGATCTGAGCGAAGACGTATTTGCACCTCTGACGAATCTAACCTTTCTGGACGTTTCGCACAGCAAACTGCTGTCATACAGTGCAAGGGCATTCCGTAACGTGGCCGTCATACAATTGAGTCTTTGCTATACGGGAATTCTCATCATCGTCGGTTCGATGATGAACGGTTCCCTGAAGGTTCTGGATATATCCGGAAATCCGGGAATTACGACACAAATTCATCATGAAAAAACCGAGGCCCGAGGATTCAATGCGAACCTGGAGATTTTAGTATGCGAGAATTCTACGGTGAAACATCTTGATTGGTTGAATGGAATGATCAGTTTGAAAGTGTTACTATTGGGGACGAATAACATCAATCAGTTGAACAATGGGACTTTTGCCAATATGGGCAGCTTAGAGATTCTGGATTTGGGTAACAATCACATAAGTAACTGGCACCAGAGGGTGTTTGAGAGCAATTACAACCTGTTCATCCTTGATCTCTCCGTAAACAATATCAATGTATTGACAACGGAAATGCTGTATGACTTAGCTGGAGTTGAGTTCCTAGCAATTGGACAAAATAGCTTCGTATGCCACTGTCTACTACGGGAATTTATTGAACTAGCGGCCAAAAACTCCCAGAGCATTTCGTGTCTTCTGAACGGAATTGTTAATCAATTGAAAGATTCGGAAACTGAAAACCTAGACGACGAAGTATCGTCGCAGGGTAATGTGCTGGAAAGTACATCCACTACATTGAGTGATGAAGGCATAACACGGATGCGTTTGACAACTGTTCAGAAACAGTCGAAAAATCCCAAAATGGAGGATTTGACATCGACAACTGCGACCCCATTGCCGACTGAAATGCAGAAGTCACAAGATGACTATAATGTCCTGTTCCGTGTTATTCACAGCTACGTATCTACTATCTACCATAGTTCTACAAAATTCCAAGAAACCCTCGAAAAGTACAACCGAAATCGACCATCCGGACGGGTTTACCGCAAAATGGTAGATGCCCGCATGGGATCGCGTTTCTTTAGCATTGATTGCAGAAATAGAACTTCAGCAGAAGAGGATGAACGGGACGTCCCAGCCACGGATTATCCCTCGGTAAGCGATCCTTTGTACAACCTTAACATTCAGATCATCGACTTCGACGAAGACAGCTACAAATGCATCGACCTGGACAATTCAGAATTCTATCTCTTCGAGCAGGAACGGTGTACGTTCGATCGATCGCTGCTGGAAAACTTAAATTTTGGCAGTCCCGTCAACACTACCACGGCAAACGCCATCAAGTTTTCGCTGATGTTTTTCGGATTTGCCCTGGTAGCCTTCATTATCTACATCTCCAAGTGGGAGTATATCAAGTACTTTTGCATTATCGTGCGGAATGCGACCGTCTTGAGTTTGCTGAAGCACAAAAACGAATCGCTGTTGCGAAAGCAGAGTCTGACATCGGTTGCCGGTTGCTACATGTACGACGTGTTCGTGAGCTACTCCGAACAGGATCGGCAGTGGGTGCTGGACGAGCTGCTGCCGAATTTGGAGAAAACGGAAGACATCGCGGTGTGTTTGCACGAGAGGGACTTTCAGGTGGGTAAGAAGCAGGATCACAATAGCACTTCACAAGTACACCACGGACAATTATTGCATAAAACCTCCGCATATCATTTTGATGTAGGTACAGTAAACGTTCGATAGTTGAAAGAGAGTTTTTGATTTTTTTTTTTTAATCCTGCTAACTCGTCTAATTTTATATTCTTTATGCTATGTTAAATTAGACGAGGTATATGCCGTGCAAACTAAAAATGGCTCAAACGTCATTTAGCTCATGGAATGGAGAAAAGCGAAATGGAACGATGCGAAACGGAATGCAGAATCATAACGAAACAACAAATAAGGCTTCCCAAAACTCGCTTTTCTGATGGTCTTAGGGTTACTAGAAGTTCAAATTAAAAAGGAACCCCGTTAATATGCACGAAGTATCGTTCAGATTAACGGAGGTCCACGGTACGTTGTATCTGCGTGTCGTGCATACAACGTATATTCGTTATGCGAGTCAAGTACATACGGTAGATGTACCAGTTATGGTTATACGTTCCTATATTATATATAATAATTATGGTATTCCAATTATGGCCTATGGGAATTCCGGCCGTTTGGCATACTCGTAAGGAAATCAATTTTAAAACAGCATTAGCACAGACAAACAGACGTAATGCTTCATTCTGAACCACCGTTCACGCATTTAACGATTGATTTGAATATTATCATTTCCGCGAACTGCTCACCGCAGCGCTGGGATCGGATCACTTTGACGTTTCTATATAACCTGTTTACCTTACACGCAACATTGTTTGTGACATAGCGAGTAAGCTTGTTTTCCGTGACAAGCTCGAAGGATGTCGTTACTGAGGCCATTTTTTTAGGTACAATGTTATCTAGATAAATATATTCAAAGAATTACGTCTGCTTGTCTGTGGTATTAGATTTGAGGTACGACGGTACAGCCATTCTATTGGTTTAAAATCTCTTTGATATTTAATAGTGAAGGAAATATTCTCTTCTACGATGTACTCCATTTTTATTATGATCAGTTCTTCAAGAACATGAAAGAACAGCTCATGTTTAATACCCTATCGAAATAATTTTACCTTTTTTATCATTAGATATTCTTTCATTTTGTGTTGAAGAACAGCGGCAGTTCTTCAGCTCATGATAAGAAGAAGGGAAATAATTTTGATGAGATATTTCCTGCTTTTGAACATGAGCTGTTCTACTCTGTGCGGCATAACAGTCCTATTAGCATTTTTGGCGTCCTATTTTGTTCTGAAAATATCGCGAAAAATACCAAAACTATGTTGTCCCACCCATAAGAGTCCATGGAGATAAAACATCTTCAACAGTGTTTTTCTCAGCTTTCTGTTTCAACGAATTAGACAACTATGCTGAAAAGGGCAGGTTCTTTAACTGTATTCCATTGAAGTACAGCTTATGAAAGGGTGTTACTCTATGATTCACCATTTCTAGCTCAAAAGGTTTTTGGTTGTTTAGAAATGCAAAAATGCGTTTTTGAAAACTGCTAAAAATGTTCCATGTCGCCTAAATTTATTGAATTCAGAAAAAAAAAACTGTTGCTTTGATATGTGACTTCATTTTTTGGTAGTAAAGATGCATACTACAGATAAACAGATGAAATCTTTGAACAAGGCATCATTACGGAGCTCAGTTACGACACCTCACGAGCTATCCACGAAAAATAAACTTGCTTGCTAAGCCACAAACAATGTTGCATACAAGGAATTGAATAAAATTAATAGATTGCATAGAAACGTCAAAGTGATCCAATAACAGCGGGTGCGGTTTACGATTCCCAAAAGTAATAATATTTAAAATGAACGTTAAATTCTTGAAGAACCTAGAATGAATTGTTACGTCTATTTTTACAGTCAACTTCCACTCGTTGGGCTAAATCCATAGCCCACTTAGTGGAAGGCTTCCGTTAGTTGGGCTGAGCTGTCAAGCTGAAAATTTGTTACGGAATACACCGATTGTTTATTATCATCAAAATCGTTTACCAACTATCCAAATTGTTCATCCATGAGCATCTCAAAAAGGAATCAGCACTGTCAGAAATGACGTTTGACTTCGATGACAAAGATGAATACTAAGATGAAACTGTCGGAAGAAAAACTTTCAATGTTAGTGTCCTCTTTCACGGTCCCTTTCATCCAATGAATACCCCCCGTATTCAAGGTAATTTTGTGGTTTTGCTGCCCCCTCGGTAGAGATGAAATTTTGCGCGCATTTTTATCAAAACAATGACACCAAAATCAGAGATGACCTATTTTTTAAATACTCGATTAACAACTAATCGATTATTTTTGTTCGCTGTGCTGCCATTTTTCCACCAATGAGAGTGCAGCACATGCTTGAAACGATCGGTGATGATCGTCTGGAGATGTTAATGCTTATATCGGCATGATATAACCGATTACAAATATTTTACTTTTCGGTCCGTTAATCGATTAATCGATTATTCGAATGAAAATCGGCCATCACTAGATGAATGTGAAACGTCATTTCAAATATAAGGATCGTTCATAAATAATGATACAATTTGAAAGGGACCGGGGCTAATCACAAATTACATCCCCATGGTAACTAAAATAAACACGAGTGTTCACCGGTTGGCCCAACTAAAACGTAGCCCAGTTAAATATAGCCCGGCGAGCGAAATTTGACTGTATATGTATCATATTTTATAATTTGACTTTGTAAAGCTTAAACATTCATTTTCCCACGATTATGCCAAATAACCGTTATGTCAAACGGGGTAGAGCCATTAGAACAAACTATAGGTCTGTTCCCGTACTTGCTTTTCTGTAAGGTTCTGTAGGCAAAACGCAAAAGCATGTTCCCGTACTTGCTGTATCATATTATTTTCTAACAGCAACTTGCAGAAAACTGCAGCAACCTACAGCAGAATCAAAAAGCAAGTACGGGAACAAACCTTATTTGGCCATAACTGGTACATAACACTACGTGCTATAACACTCTATCAAAAAAAGCAGCTGTTATTTTTTTGACAGTAGTCAACATAGGTCAACATCAGAGTCGATGTTATAATAAGAGTCCCGCCAAGAGTGAAGCCAGAAGTACCAATCGAACTGTCAAGCGGGGTACCAAACAAGCAAAGAAATAAGCATTATTGTTCCCACAGCCAGTGAACTACAAGTATTGCATTCATTACTCACAATATTTTAGTAAGTTTAGATTAAAAACATTTCTTCGCCTCATTTAATACATTGCACAGTGGTCCAGAATGCAGATTTAGGTGGAATGATATGTTTTGAGCCTGAAATTGAAACTTTAGACTAAAAGTCTCTTCTACAAAGTTGTTCCTTATAGTTAGGCCCTCATTTTTATGATAATAAATTCTAAGGTGGTTCCTATTATCATTAAAATCATAAATCTAACTTTTTTGTTTGAATAAATTAAGGTATACATTCTTCGGCAAAGTTATAGCTGAGCTAGTTTCAAGCAACTTTATTGAAAATAAATTTTTTGTATCTCTTAAATTGGCCGATTTAGAGCTATTTTCTTGAATTGAGTAAGGGTGGCTCTTGAAAAAACAGTTTTTTTGCTCTAGTTTTCTTATTTCAAATTTCTCAGCAAAGGTGTCTTCAGATAACTTTTAGATCTTAACGTTCTCATTTTAGAGTATTTTTTCGGAGTTGACTTAGGGTGTTCCTGGAAAAAATAGTTTTTTAGCAATAACTTTTTTATTTGAAATTTCTCATGAAAGTTATCTTCTAGAGAATTTTAAAACTCTTTTAGGCGAATGTTACCTGTTACCTGAAGTTGTTGCCTTTATCTCTTCTAATAAAAAAGATATACCCAAATATAGTAAAAAATATGACTAAATTCAAATTGATTTTATACGAGTTTAAAAAATAAAATACCTCCAATTTTGTCATATTATTGAGAATAACGTACGCCCTTTCAAATGCCGTAAAAAAACTTTTTTTTTGTTTGCCCCAACCAGAGATATTAACATTTGAAAAGTGCATATTTTTAGTATAAAAACGTCAATAAGTCTTGATCGGCGAAAGATATTGACAAGCTTTGTGCAGCAAAAACTTGGTCCTTCTTAAGATCTAAAAGTTATCTGAGGACACCTTTGCTGAGAAATTTGAAATAAGAAAACTAGAGCAAAAAAACTGTTTTTTCAAGAGCCACCCTAACTCAATTCAAGAAAATAGCTCTAAATCGGCCAATTTAAGAGATACAAAAAAGTTTGCTTCAACAAAGTTGCTTGCAAATTGCTCAGCTATAGCTTTGCCGAAAAATGTATACCTTAATTTATTCAAACAAAAAAGTTAGATTTTTGATTTTAATGATAATAGGAACCACCCTAAAATTCATTGTCATAAAAATGAGGGCCTAACTATAAGGAATAACTTTGTAGAAGAGACTTTTAGTCTAAAGTTTCAGTTTCAGGCTCAAAACATATCATTCCACCTAAATCTGCATTCTGGACCACTGTGCATTGTGGTATTTATAAGTTATACCAAGCACTTGTTTGAACCTTTTGCAGGTTCAATAAATATCCAATATCCAATAAAATCAATAATTATTTTTGGCTCCGAGAAGCTTTGTTATCGACATGAAATTTTTCACTTCTGAATGAAAGTCATCCGATGCTAACGCAAAAAATCTGGTTGCCGTTTACTCTGACGAAAAATAAATCACAAACAGTGCTGCTTGTTCGCAACATTTTCTCTTGGCGGGACTCTTATTATAACATCGACTCTGGTCAACATGTGCTAGAACGATTTTTGAAAAAAAAAAATCAAAAACACGCATTGAGTTAGAGAGCACTAAGTAAGCCCAATGAGATCGACCCAAATTTGAGTTCAGTTTGCTCATAAATCGCAAAAAGTGCAGGCGCTCAGCGCTGCGTTTGTCCAGATTTTTTCCAGGAAAAAAAATCCAGAATATGAGAAAAGTCAAGACTGGATTCACTCAGTCTATTGGTACTACTCTTAGATGGAGTAAAATTTTCGTCTTCATTTTCCGGCAGATTTTTTTAAGGTTTCCACAGAAAAACATGATACAAATTTACTCATCGCTGAGCTCCTGCACTTTTTACTATTTACGAGTAAACTGAACTCAAATTTGAGTCAAACTCATTGGCTGTGTTGTTGTGATATTAAGAATGTGTTCCATTTCTCAATTATTTTTTCGAAGAAACGTATTAACTTTTATAATAATGCATTTGATCGTCGGTTTGGCGTAACTGGTAGTTCTCCCTCGTATGCCAACATTACTATCAGATAGGGGAAATTTTCATTCGATAATAAATTATAATGTTCAAAAAACCCTCTGTTGTTGATCATCCTATTTTTGAGAAAGGCTATACCGTTCCGATTCAAATTTCGGACGATTCAAATTTCGGACACTTTCATTTTTAATTAAAATATTACATCCAGTTAGAAACAAAGTAATAATGTTAGATGATCGTGGAGGGCACTAGTCAAAAAAATTTAAAATGGATCATGTGGAAACATGTGTATCATATTCGACCGAGATAATCAACTTTTAAAAGTGTCCGAAATTCGAGTTTAAGTGTCCGAAATTTGAATCGGCAATTATTAAATTTTCTATCTGTCAAATTTAAGCGAAAATTCACCAAATGGAACACAGTCTAAGTGTAAAATGAATGAGAACGGCAGATAAAAAGATGAGAGTAAACAGTCACAGCGTGAATAATTTCAACTTTACTCATGGATGTAACATATCTTTATGTAATAATGAATGAATGTGTGTTTTGTACAATGATCGTGACTTGGCCACTAGGGAACCTAAGCATTCTAACTTATTAACAACCAATGCTGTATCTTTGATTGCTCATTGATCCACACATAGTGCGATAACAGCTAATCGCTATGTCATTGCAGGTCGGTGTGAGCATACTGGAGAACATAATCCACTGCATGGATCAATCCAAAACTCTGCTGTTGGTTATGTCCGAGAGCTTTCTGCTAAGTCACTGGTGCCAGTTTGAAATGCATCTCGCCCAACACAGGTAGCTGCAAAATAGCTCATTTTTAGTCCCCACTAGTAAACCCCATTGAATATCCCGCAGGCTACTGGAAACGCGCCGAGAGCAGTTGATACTGGTCCTGCTGGAAGACATCCCGAAAATAAAACGATCCAAAACGCTCCAGTATCTTATGAAAACCAAAACGTACATCATCTGGCCACAACCGGAGTTGGCCTTCGAGGCGGAGGAGCAGGCAAACAATGAAAATACCAAAAGTGACTCCTCCAAGAAGAAGAAGAAGAAGAACCGTAATCAGAATCGTAGCAGAGAGAAAGACGCTCGAACACTGGCCGATGAGCGAAGGCTGTTCTGGAAGAGATTACGTAATGCCATCAACGATAGCGCAGTCTGGGAATCGGACAACAACGGAAAAGATGGCGTGGAAAAGCAAAACAATACCCTCACCGAGAGCGCAGCGTGATTAGTTGCCGTTGTTTGGCACGCTAAACCAAAATAAACCAATGATTTTTTTTCTTTAATAAACTGTGATACTTATGTTCAACTTCGTGCAAATTATTTGCAACTCTTGGGTGCTTAACATATGTGCGATGTTCAAGTAGTTATTGATCAATTCTATTGAATTTTAAAATACATATACGTTTAGGACTTTTAATAGGGTTTTAGGGCTACTTCGTTTCGTCATACCAGCAAACAGTTTTTGCACCCGTTTGGGAATGTAAGATTCTCTCACAATTTTACATAAAAAATTAACCAAATCAAGCTGAACATTGCATTAGGTCCTAAGTAACATTCATCGATTCTCTTCGTCGACTTTCTCAATGTTCAGCTTGAAATCTGCACTGCTGTTATACGCATAACTGACCCACGGACCATAAGGATTGCATAGAACATGGGACAGTTATCTGCGCATGAACATAATCTGTAAGTTCAAAATTTAATAGGGTACATGTCCCCAGGGGCGTAGTGAGGGGGTAGCAAAAATTGGCCCCACCAGGTGCGCCAAGCTACAGGGGCGCCGAAATACAATTTTTTTTTACTAACTATACATACAAAACAAGCTTATATCAACATAATGGGTACGTCTTGCAAAAAGTGAAACGATAAAATATTTTTCAATTATTTTTTATTGTACTCCTGACCAAGCACATATGGACCAAAAGAGCCAGATAATGCATTTCCTGGATTTATCCGAAGCAGTGTTGGGAAAATATCAAAAATTTAAATTTCACCAAAGAACAAGATCACGCTTGATTTTCGTAGACAAAAATCAAAAAGCAAACAACTACGGTGGATATTGCAAGCTGTGATATCGCAGCTCAGAATATCAAGATAAAAAAAAAACTCACCAGCTGCAAATCTCACCAAACTGTAGTGAGATTGTGTTGCATGATTTTTGCTTTACACTCGAACGAAACTTCACACCCAAGCGTATGAGAGCAGAAAAATATAAATTTGCTAATGTAGGTAAATGCCAGATCAAAGCATGCTTCATCAGTTGACCACTTTGTCAAGCAGCTTTGACGTGACTTTCTACCTGCGATTTCACAAAACTGGAACAACTAATTTAATTTTTTTTTTATGAAACGCGCAAATGTTGGCTACTTTTCTCGAGGTTCTAGAAGAAAAAATCTCAAAATAATGTTTTATTTCAAAGTTCGAGTGGTAGTACACGTCATTTTAAGTGCTCGAATGAAGTGATTATTTTTATCAAGACGGCCGAGAACGCTGGAACGTCCTTTCTCGCGTCCTTTTCTAACGATATCTTGCGAAAAATGCAAAACGACGGATTTCCACTTCCATCTTATGATTCGCGCTGTATGCTAATTAATTTAGTTGAGCTCAAAAAGCAAAGAGAGTTCGCAATGATTGCTCTTATAAACGATGTAATTTCGCAAAGAGTTAACAGCCCAGAGATTTTGGAAAATATCAATTGTTATGCCCTCTTGCTCACTGCGGAATATAAATTTGTTAAGAATTAACAACCAAAGAACAGACTATGCCAAAAATGGCCTATTGAATAGAATGATGTCTTAGCTAGGCATCAATAATAAAATATAGATGTTATGCAAGCACTGGAAATACAAGTGGAACAACTGGCGGTTAAGTAAGAATTATAAAACGGTCTACACTGATTGATGACTAATAATTAAATATATAGCTGGTTGCCGTGGGCAAGCTTATGACAATGTGTGTGTGTGTATTCCCTCTAACCCCCACTGGCCGACAGTGTTATTATGGAGGAACTCTCCCTACAATGTCGCATTTATGGTCATTGTAGACAGCTTTAGTCCGGGAGTTAGAAGGTGATAGCTCTATTGCAGATCCAGTAACCCATTTCAGAATGTCTGGAGAGTCACGCCCATTCCGAGGTTACTTTCACTCACAATAAGCCCCGCATGAATGCATCACCGTTATCAAATGATGGATATTGATTATATATAGGTACACACTTCCAGGTTCGAAAATACTTTTTTCAAACCTGGCATGTAGGGTAAATGATGGCTTCGGCAGCCATCGACTGTTTTCGGCAACCACAATTTAAACGTTAATTTCGCTGTATTTTCTCACTAAAACACTTTGCTGAATGTATTTAAACGATTCCTCAGTCTTTCAGGTTCAATCATAATACATTTTTACGACTGATTAAATCTGTTATGTCAGGTGTTTCTTCAAATGAAACATAAGCACATGAAAATACGGCTGATTTCGAGTTGCCGATAATAGAACAACTGGTTAACACACAGTTTAAACGGAAAGGTTGCCGAAGTAAAAGAGGCTGCCGACAATAGTCACACTCACCTGAGAAGTTTGGAGTGCCTTAAAAACGTTTTCAAACCGTTTTGGACAGTTCTGTCGATTGGAATGGATACAGTAGCTAGCAGCAGATAAATGTAAACAAACAGACACGTCATATGTGTGCGTGACACTGAGGAAATGCTAATAGAAGTGCGGAGTCTGCTTAGATTGCCGAGAATACGTAAATTCCCCTATTTAGTTTAATTTTGAAATTTAATTTGTAACAAAATATTTGGAAAGCTCTCACCATATTCTGCTCTTCCGCCGCCGTTAATTGCTTCTTTTGGAATCCCTTGGACTTTTTCTCTAACGCTTCTTATTCCATTCCGTGCTTCACCGGCAATTTCCTTCCGTAGATCGTCCTTGATTGGTTCTAACACGATTCCGCCTTTTCCGGGTTTTTCTTGTTTTCCGAGGGAGATAAATCCGCACTAATTTCCGTTCCTGGTTAGATGTTGACTCCTTCCTCGCTGGTTGGTTTCACGCCCACCATCTGTCTCTGAATTACCATGGTGATCTGGGACGCGGCTCACGTCCAAAGTCGCTGGTCCACTGTGCGCTCCGTGTGCGAAAAGAGAATGAAAGAAATACGAAAGGGATCAGTTTCAAGAAGTGACAGTTGAATCAGATTCCCCAACTAACCATACTCAAGCAAAGTAAGAATACACAAGCTATATTGCAATTATATGGTTACTTGAGTACTATGGCCGTCCGAATGGTTCATCGGTTGCGAAGTGAAGTATTTCTGAAAGTGATGCGTTATATTTCTCAATGTTTTGATTTTATCCTATCACTCAAAATAATCTACACGTCAATGCTACGTGAAAAATCACGTAGATTCCAAAAAATGCTTTTTTACTCTAGTTTATCTGACAAAGGTAAGTATCATCGGACGTTGGTTGTATATGAAATGAAGAGCCAGTTACTTTTACTGCAGTTGCCCCATCTCTCTTACGTGAAAATCACGTACTTTTTAAAATTCATTTTGCCAGCTGCATTCCGCGTTCATTCTGTGTACGAAGAATAAGCAAACTAGCGTCTGTTGAAAACAAACTGCAAGAGCTGCTAGTTTTTTTTTTTTAAAGCTTTATTAAAGAGATTTTTAGCCTTAGGCTAGTTCATCTCTAAGAGCTGCTAGTTGATTTAAACATCACGCAACATTTGTTAGAAATATTTGATGGTAAGAACGGTTTAATGTGAGCTTGTATCCTATATTGATGGGTCTTTTTTTCATGTGAATAGAATGTGAAGTCGATTTTGTCGATTTGCAAAGGACTACGACTGATCAACTTCGCAAGTCTTTAGAACCAACAAAAATACCTTGGAAATATCCAGTGTTGCATGAATTGATTTCCTCTTGGCGAACACGAAATGTAAGATAATCTAACTATTCTAAAAAAGAACGATTCATCCGTTAACTTTTTTCCTCTTTTATACAGGAGTCCAAAATCGTTAGTTTACTAACGTCGCTGATACCAGGGTACCACCTGCGACTTACCGGAGTAATAATATTGCTTCTTCATTGGTTGCATCTACCGAGATCACAAGCGAGAGTAATCAGTTCGATCAAAATTTCTCTCAGTTCTCATCTAACGAGGCCTACAAAAGAAGCGATTCGGATTATGGACATGGTTCAACCTCAACATCAACATCGTTGCCTGTTCGTTTGAATAAACCAGCAGCAGTTTTTTCTACTTCAATCCAAGCCACATCATCAGGCGTTCACAGTAAAACGGATGCGCTTGATGAACCCTCATCGGATGTTACCTGTAGGTCTGTGGAAACCAATGAAAGCAAACACGAAAAGCAAACGCAAAACGTAAGTATATAAATCCCTATTTTGCATGTAAATAAAAATTTATCCGCTTTTTTGTTTACTTTTCAGTAGGAGTCCCAAATTGAATGTTTAATCACGTCACTGGAGCCAGGATACCGTCTGTGACTTTCCAGTCAAGCAAATGTTGTTCGGTTCTCGGTTGTGTCGACTGAGATCACAAGAGGGAGTAATCTGGTCAATCAACGGATCTACCAGGTTTCCTCTAGTGAGGCTGCAAACCTAAACGAACCAAACCATCAACTTCCACGAATGATAAATCCGGTTACTTTGCCCAGGGCTTTGTCAAAGTAACGTCGCCTGCTCATGTAAATCAACCAGCAACTGGTTATTCTGATGCCATCGGATCCACATCGTCAGCCACTGACAGTAATACGGATGCGCTCATTGTATCGTTAGCATACAATATACATATTCATACATAGCATACATGTATACAATTCGGTCTTCAGAATCTGGAGACTGTTTGAAATCAGTAGAAAAGTGCTCTTCCATCATTTAAACAGACCAATCCCAACAAATTCGCCGAATCCTCTTCGACCGCTTTAGCAACAACGATTTCACATCATGAGAGCAATGTTTTTACAACAAAATCCTTAGAAGAGTTGCTGAGAATGCTGAGATACTCCGAAGAAGGAATGGAAGTTCAGTTTCAATGTTAATCCTGTAGAAGCTAAGTTTGTATAGTTAGTAATAAAATTTGATATATTATTCATATTGTTTTATTGCATTAATATATGATGCATTATTTTCCAATTATGTATTTTAGTTAGGAACATACGAATTGGAAAATAATGCAATCATTGTAATAATTGACTGTGAATCAATCAGATTATAAAAAAGCAAAAGGAAAAATTAACGCAAAACAACGTGCTTTCCACAGAATTTTTTTAAAATTTACTGGATTATCATCTAGGTTCTACTTAAAACACTTCGTAAAAGATACGGGAGTAGTCACGTAGCTATTACGTGAAACTCCAGTGGGATGAGAGTTCATTAGTTCATTCTGGGCTACCTATGATACACGTGAGTGCTACGTAAAAAGTGCGATGGAAAAAAGCCACGTATGTTTTCACGTAGCATTGACGTGTGGATTATTTTGAGTGTAGAGTGGTTCGAATCTTTCATTGATTGCGACTCACTTGGAGAAATTTTATAAACTCACAAAACCATCATCATAATTTATCATGTTTCTTTAAAATAAAACAAATGGTTTAAGCACACACAAACAGACATAACATATATAATATTTCTCACTGTAAAACATCGTCGCTAAAACACTACCGCCATCTGTTGAGTATACTGTGATAGGTAGTGTGCGCAACAGATGGCGAAAGTGTATAAACGTCAAACGCAAGACAATTAACTATCCACGCCACAGGTGGTGGTGTTCGGAGTAACCATTTGTGGAATAGTTCTAGCATTTGGGCAATCGTTAATTTATGGCATTTGTTCATTAGGGCGTGCAATTCCATTTCCTCACACTGTACTCATTTTTTTTACACCGATTTTTGACGTAGAACTACGTCTTTGTCGACTATACTGGGGTACAAATCAAAAAATATGTGTGGTGAAATAGTGTTAACAAGCGTTCAATTGTAATTTTGTCATTTACAGATGAAATTAAAATCCAAATACGCCAATCGATAGGATATTTCTTAACAAATCTGCTGAAATAAATACTTTTCCAATTTTTAATCAAAATTTTTGTTGAAAAATGCGCAAATGATAATTTTACAGACAAACAGACATAAGACATTGAATATTTCTCACTGTAAAACATCGTCGCTAAAACATTACCGCCATCTGTTGAGTACACTGTGGTGGGTAGTACGCTGAACAGATGGCAGTAGTGTGTAAACGTCAAACGCAAGGGAACTGACTACGCGCGCCATAGGTGGCGGTACTACCAACTACGATACTTTTAAATTTACCGTTAAATGCTTGTTCGATGAACAACTTGCGAGTGTTATGTCTGTTTGTCTGTGATAATTTAATCACTGTTTTCATGAACTAAACGTTTTTCCCAAACCCAGTCATCATAAACAAATACCACTTTTTTTTTTTTTTTTTATTGCGTTTATTTATAAGGCCCCCTTGCCTATTAGGCATTGCTTGGGCCGATGACCATTATTTACAATGAGATCCCTTCCCGCTTTTATTTTTCAAATAAAACGTATTATCCCCTATTTGATAAGTTGCATTATTTTCATCTAAACGATCTATTTGCTGACCAGTCTTCTGGGTGCACTGATCAGCACGAACTTTCTTTTTTTCGTTCTCCTTGTGTTTCGACAGCCGGCGTTTGTTGGTCTTTTCATTGAAATCCTTTGTTGCGTTTGATGAGCTGGTGCTAGAGTTTTCGTCGTTGCTTGAAGTGTGATGATCCTCGGTTTGATTGTCGGTGTTTCGCTGTTGTTCTTCTGCTGAGAACCCGGTGAAAGCAGGAGATGATTGACCCGATGTCGTTGGCTGGTTTTGTTCGATATCAATCGACGGGAAATCATCGAGACTGAATACCCCCTCGGTTGGTGGAGCTGCTGGAGCGGTGCTATTGTTCGATGTGGCTACATCCAAACATTTCTGTTTGGGATGTGCTGCTCGGTCACAATGGCGGCACGTTTTTGGTTGCTTGTCATACGTTACCAACGTTGTTTCGTTGTCGACCGTGATGTACGATGGAATGGCGCTTTCGAGTCGCATTCGCAAAACTCGAACACCGCTCATGAAGTAGTGCTTCCATTTCTCATGTCGACTGGAAATCACTGTCCCGTACTTTGCCATGTGGTTCATAACAGTGGCTTGTGGCCATGCCAGAGGAAGATCATGCACTCGAACGGTCACTGCTTCACAATCCACATATACCGGGATTTTGAACTCACTCTTCGCACAGAGAATCGCGTGTTTATAGTTGTGCGCCTTTTCATAGCGCAAGGCAACTTCATTGTCTATCATCTCAATAAAAACACAATTTCGGACGTTATGAAACTGAATGCATCTAACGTCCGAATATTGAAGCTTAATATAGTTCTCGAAGAATTTTTGCACTTTTCCCGCATTGGGACGAACTGGAAGGACACTGAAGTCAACAACAAGTGTGTTTTTACGAACTACACTCATTTTCGCTACAATATTTCACCAAGTTAAGCAGAGCAGAAAGAGAACACGTCCGATGAATACGAGTAATGGCTGTCGAATGAAACAAATACCACTTGGTTGCACATCATTCTGCTTGAACCTGAAAAGATATAAAACAGCGTTGCTCATTACCGCTTCGGACGGCGTGGCACTAGGTCCTGCATTAAGCAGGACCAAGTCAGCGGCTAAAGGTGGATCACAGCGTGACCATGACCACCACAATGAGGAATGAGACTTGGAAAATTATGTATGTAAAACCCTCTCCCCCCCCTTAACAACAACCCGAAAGAGACATGGACTTTGACGATCACTTTTTTCCAGAAAATAAATTTTAAGCAAACCACAATTAGGGGCTGTTCATTAACTACGTAGACAGTTTTTTGGGATTCTTAACCTCCCCCCCTCCCCCTGCGTAGAATTTTTTTTAAAAATTTGTATGGGCTGTGGATAATTGTCCCCCCCTCCCCCCCTTTAAACTCTGAGACATACATTCAATGAATTATCAACAGCAGACTGTAAAACATATCTAGTACCTCAATATATGCAATTAGAATCACATACAAGTCCATCCTTTTTCCATATTCTGCAGTAAAGAAACGTTCTGCCCCGCCCATTCATAATAATAAGTATAATAGTCAAAAGGGCATGACAAACATCAATCCGTGGTTCTACGTCATACTGCGGTCGTGCCTAGGACGCAACCCTTTAATTTGTTTTGAGACAAACAATAATTTACTGTGTGGTGCCCATTTTGGCAAAAATTGTTGAAAAAGTTCCCAGAATGAGTTCTAAACATGCGTTTAACCAACTAATTCACTCGTTTAAAAAGCTTTCTGATCATCACCCCTATTCTGTAATTCGTTTCGAACGAAATTCTCATACAAAAAAATATTTTTTTGTATGAGAATTTCGTTCGAAACGAAATACAGAATAGGGGTGATGCACCATCGGCTCTTTTATTTCACTGTTAATTATCGACAAAACTACTTTTGTTCACAACCATATGAGCGGTGAATGGCAGTGCTGTGAATATAAGGCAGTATAGAATACGGTGCTTTAGGCCGAAAGTTTATCATAAAACTGAATTAGTTGAAAACTGAATTAGTCTGCTCGCACAACTGACTCGGCTCGTTAAATGGTTTGCATTCACAAAAAATGAAGCCAAGATGAAATTAGATTATAGAGGTGTTCTCACTTGCTGACTTTTTGGGAATAACCAGTGAGTGGTAAGCTACGGGTAAGAGTAAGCTGCGGGTAAGGAAATGAGAGATGCGATAGAGGTGAACGGATTATTTACGCAAACACAACATTCTGATTGGGTAGCGAGTTGCGCAAGCAGTTGAATGTGCGCGCGCTCGCACCGGTTCACTTTGTCGCTTTCCCGAGCTTTTTCGGCCTTTAGTGTATTTCGGTATTTTGTGATTCTGCCTTCTGTGATTCGGCCTTTCGTAGTACTCCCTTAGAGACGGCTTCAAAATAATAAACAAATTACCAGGCTTTTCTATTAACAACAAATCAAAACGAAGTAAAAATCAAATAGTTTTGCTTCCGTTTTTTGTTTCATTTCCTTTTTATATAAATATCTTCTTTTTATGCAATATATCATTTTATAATATTTGTTTTATAATATATAATAATAATTTTATGGTTTTCTCTGGATTTTCAGATGGATTTAAAATTTTGTAGTCGTAGTCGAAATGGGGTTTGTCTTTCTTTAACTAATACAAATTATGTGTGTTTTGTTTCTCGAGTGTTTGTGTCGGTGTTTTTTTTTCTGTTAGTTTTCTTCTTCTCTTGCTGTTTGTCGTGCAGTTTTTCCTCCCTCCTATTATACTCAATCGTATGGTATTGTGTGTATTTTACTTGTCTCTTTTTTCTCCTTCAATTAGTGGTAATAGTAAAGTAGTAAATAGGAATAAGAGCAATTAGAATGACGTTAATAGACCGCCAAACGAAAGTCTAGTATACTAGGAGTGTTAAACTTGAACGATTTCGGACTCGAGCCACGTGGAGTGCGTGGCATTGCTTCTAATAGTGTAGGCTCAACTCTAACTCAAGGAGTCTCAACTTCAAAACGGAGCTATCAATATACCTTTTCCGGCGCGTACACACGAATGTGTGTGTGTGTGTTAGACAAAAATACACTTTAGTTTGCCACTGGACGAGAAAAGTCTTATAAATCTATGGTCTCTCCGGCGCAGCCCAGTGACAACTACACGATGCGAATAAAGATCACGGATGAACTAGCAGTGCTGATGAAAAAAAAACCTTAAAATTCTTAGAATGGACTAAATTCTGCTGTTGTCTCTCAATTGTACGGTGGCAAACCGAACAAACGCAGTGCTGCTTCACAATTGCAGAAACGCACTGGTCCCTTGTCTATTAGTAGTATTTTACGTCTACACCAGACGGTTTAATGACATTTGCGCGGCGGAAAGCAAAACTAAGATGGTCTGAGCAAAATTCTGCGCCGGTAAAATCTATGCTGCTTCAATCAATCAAATAAACTACCGGGGAAAACGACTATACGCTATACTGCTGACTGTTAGGTTTGGGCCTCCAGATGTTCGAGTTCTTTTCCAATATTTCATCTCTCTATCATGCAAACAAATAAAAAACAGGCGAATGATTTATGTGTTTCCACTGCAGTTTCTCTTATTTTCCTTGTATATTTTCTAACCTGTGTTTGTATAACTGATATCTTCATAAACATAAATTTTTTAATAATCATCTAAATCGAAACCGCCGTTGTCCAATTCATCTAGCTGCATGCTTTGGAAATCTACCTTGTAGCGCAAAATACCTGGAAGAAAGAAAAACGGTGGAGGTTAGAAACGGGCTCATCTTGACAGGGTTATCCTATGTTAGTGAACTACACTACCTGAAGCATGGTCAACAAGTTTACTGTTTTTTTTTTTCCTCGGGAGGGAAATCGACTGCATACTCATTACAGTACCTGCTTGTTAGCCACTTCAGAAAATCAAACAACTTAAAAGCACTATGATCTATAGTAAAATATTAACACATCAAATAACGATAAGTGTCATGTATGGTTAGGTGTAATGGAAATTGTGAAACATAATTTGTGCAACAACCGACAACGAGATTCTGCCTTCTTTTGATTGCTGCCCGTTCTTTTCACATTCGGGGTGATGACGTTCGGGGAAATGTACCGCAATCCGGTTGGGCTTTGGGATATTACCTCAAATCACCATATTAGGGAAAAGTGGGGTTATGTGTCCATAAGGGGTAAGACGAACATCGTATATAAACCACATTTTTTGACAATTGAATTGGTAATAATGTATGTAGAGCGCTTCTTTAGTATATGAACATGCTGTGTACTGCAAAACATCTAGAAAAAATACGTAGCGATTAACAAAGGGGGTGATTTATTGTAGTGTTGACAAAACCAGCAAAAAATTATAATTTTAATAAAAAAAATAATTTGTTTCGAACAATTAGAGCTTTAGGACTGAAGTGCGGGATGTTCATTATGCGCCACCTGTTCACTATACCTCTCTATCTTTATTATATTTGAAGAGTTTTTGCTTATTTTCTGTATTGTTTCAAATACAAAAGATCTCAATGGTCGGAAAAACTCAAAAACTCAAATCTCATGCGTGAGTTTATTCGCCTATGAGTTTTGACTTGCAAATTTCAACTGCGCAAAAATCAGTGATGAGATTTCAGGTTCAAAAATTAATTTCTTTATATTTTGCCGTTATTCATTGTTATAACTGTCGTTTTTGCATTGATGCATGCAAAATTACCACAACATGCATAAGCATACTATCAATTATTTATTAATCACCGTATTCGACTACTAGTCGTACAGACTGAACTTTTCTACTTATAAACTAGATATTACTACTAATCCTATTTCTAACAACGTTTTTAGTCAAGTTAAAATCAAATTAGTCACAGACAACATGGAACAAGCGAAGACACGAATCGAAAGGGTTGTTGTAGCCGTAGTTTGTCCTGTGGTATGGGACTGCTATTAAAGCTGAGTTCCAAAACCATCTGGGAGGAATTTTAAGCGGAATCTGTGCGAGAAGTTCAGGGCAGTCGATAAATCCTCTAATGACATCGAAGACAAATAGCCGCTGCATCGTTACTAGTCTTACAGATAGTGGCTTCAATCCTATGAGCATACATCGGTCGGAATAAGGAGGAAGATTGGTCGACCGGCGATCCGTTCCAAAGAAGTTGTCTCTGCGGCGTACTCAAGAATGCTACGAACCAACGAACAGTAGAGCGTTTTAAAGCTAACGTTGCATGGAATGCTGCCGTTTCTTCACGAAATCCCAGAAGCACGATGGGTTTTTGTATTTATTGTAGTTTTAATAGATGGATAATAGAACTGTACTGCAGCTGTACTTCGCGAAGGTAATCAGGTCGTTCTCAGACTTCGAAATGAAGAAACGGTGACGTGCTTTTTTAGGATGTTGCGAGGATACCGTAGTTCGGAGGTGCAACATAACTTACTGGAAACTGAATTGAAAGATCGTCTTTCCGAGGAACATAGTCGTTAAGCACTGCGTAAAGCTTGCCATAGAATGCTGATAATATTCCATCCAATCGTTAGAGCCTTTTTAATCTGGCCAAAATCGCACGAGCGGAAATTGTAGCCAGTGTTGGGAAAATACCAAAACATCAAATCTCACCAACGCCCAAGATCACGCTTAATTTTCGTAGACAAAAATCAACAAGCAAGCAACTGCGGTTGATTTTGCAAGCTGTGATATCGCAGCTCGGAATATCAAGCTAACAAAACTCACCAACTGCAAATCTCACCAAACTGTGGTGAGATTGAGTTTAATGATTTTTGCTTTGCACCCGACTGCAACAAAAACTTCCATAACGGCTTGCAGCAGTCCCTTCGCGTCTGCCATCGGTGAAGATTAAAAAGAGATAGCAAACTATGCTTTCTCTTTCTAAGAAAACGATGTGCAATGGAATCATTTTTGTGTCGAGTCAACTGTCAGCTTGATGTTTGCACGTTGTGCATAGTCTCGCAATATCAAAGGAGCTTGTAAAATCAATATCAAGCATGATATTTTGTTCCAATATCATGTGTGATATTGCGAGCCCATGAGAGCGGAAAAATATCAATTGATTTCTGATTTTGCCAACACTGATTGTAGCAAAGATTACCGTCCAACTCGTTCTGTACTACACCAAAATCGTCGAACAGCAAAAAACAAAAGGCACGTGGTTGTCAACGGGCAACAGAGGCGTAGGTAGGTTCAATAAGGTCTAGTCGCTCTGGAAGATTGCAAGGTCGAGAAGCCTGCCGTTCGCATTCACATACCGATAATACCATTTTTGCTGCATACCAGTAGCAAATATAGTTTCAATTAGTGCCTGTTTATGTTCGGAAGAAACATTCAAGGGAATGAAACCATTTACATCCTCGTCCAGTTGACGTTTGAGCGGTTTTTATTAGTTTTAAGCTGGAATGATTGTTTAACGCTGTGAGTGTGAGTACGTAAAAATGCATGGTCAAGCGTGAGATTTGTTTGCCAGATTCGCACGCTTGTTTATTTTGACGTAGGACTACGTCTTTGATTTCTATATGGGACTACACTTTGTGAAAACCGAAAATGGAACATGTAACAAATTAAGAAAGATTTTGAACGTTAATAACTCTGCTGCCCCTGGTTTAATTTCAATAATGTTATCACCAATCGATCAGAAATATGGCTACGCATTGAAAGCAATGCTTCCAAATGTTGATTTTCAACAAGAAACTATTGAAAAACTGGTAAATGTCCAGCATTGTCCAAAAGCGTCGAATTAACTAACAAATCCTATGCTACTTCCCCAGCACAGTCGTCAGAGAGTAGTAAGTAGACGAAACAAGTCGAAGTGGCATTCGCCTCCGATCCTCGGGCGCGTGCGAATAGGGAGGATGGATTTGCGTAATATTTTGCAAACTCATCGCCATATTCAGAACCACACGCAAATTCTTCGAGATAACTACCATCCGTCGTCTGGCTCGCCGTGGCGGTGTCTGACGTATCTCCGGTCTGATTTACGAGGTGTGCTGAAGGTTCTCCTGAAAAATGAGTTCCATGATGCTGTCACCTACACTAAACACGCCAAGCGTAAGCGGCCATGGATGTCATCAGCGTTTTGAAGTGACAGAGACGCACTCTGTTTGGTTTCGGAGGTTAAATCATCACCAACTTTGAGTTGGCTCTTTTCATGGCCACCAAGCTTATTACAGTAAAGAGTAGGAATAGAACTCATCTGCCTGTTTGACCATATTCAGAACCAACGACCACACAAAATGCTCATATAATCAAACTAGAATCAGGGGTACAAATAATTTTGATCAACCTTGATCAACTTTGAATCGCCACGGCCGGATATTTTCGATGGAAGAAGCAACAATCTAGCATCTAATTCGACGAAGACGTCAGGAAACATTTCTGGATCAACAATAGAATAGGGCCCATCAGCATTTGTAAACAAACCGTTCCAAAGCCTCACAAATCGAAGGCCGCTCACACAAACCAACACCAACATCTTGTAGGTAGAAGTTTCCCCTATCCGATGATGGTGTTGGTTTGTGTGGGTGGCCTTCGCTTTGTGAGTAAAGGGCTTTGGAACGGTTTATTTACAAATGCTGATGGGCTCTTTTCTATTGTTGATCCAGATTTGTGAAGCCGAGTTATTTACGAAAGAGAGTGTCGATGAAGAGAATCGATCAATGAAAATAGGCCCTATTGAAAAGTGACGTGAGATTCGTTTTCCGTACTGAGCTCCAATGCTACCGACGCCAGGTAGGCAGCTCCCACACCTGGACCCTACCAATCGACCCATCAACTCAACCGTGATCAGACACCGTGATCAACAGGAAGACGTGATCAGAGATGTTATGCCTTAGAACATGCCGGTGGTGCCGACTGAGATTGGACCCAGGCCTGCTGGGGTGAGAGGTAATCACGCTATCTACCGGCGCCGATATATTTCAAGGTGATATCACGGCGAATGAGAACGACCCAAATTTGAGTGTAGTTATCTCAGAAATAAAAAATAAAGTGCAGGAACTCAGCGACGAGTAAATTTGCCTCATGTTTTCCCAGGTTTTTCCAGGATTTTCCAGGGAAAAAATCCCGAATTTGAGAAAAGTAAAGATTGGATTCACTCAGTCTATTGGTACTACTCCGAGACTGAATGAAATTTTCGTCAATTTCCTCATTTTCTGGCAGATTTTGTAGGTTTTCCACAGGTTTTCCAATGAGACAAATTTACTCATCGCTGAGTTCCTGCACTTTTGGCGATTATGAGTGAACTAAACTCAAATTTGGGTCGTTCTCATTCGCCGTGTATGCAAAAGGAAAAGAGCCAGTGTCGCTACTTGATAGCAAACTACTCATAATGGGAGGAGTCTTTGTAGCTTTTATACCACTTGGTTGCACATCATTCTGCTTTAACCTGAAAAGATATAAAAGAGCGCTGCTGTATGGCATTAGCTCATTTTCGCTTCGGACGGCGTGGTGAACAGCAATAGCAGCAGTAGGAAGGTGGTGGCTAGTCCACTCCTTCACACCTTACAAGCAACAATTGACTGTGACTGGTCGTGGCAAAGGAGGAAAAGGTCTGGTAAAGGAGGCGCCAAGCGTCATCGCAAAGTTCTTCGAGATAACCGCCATCGGTCGTCTGACTCGCCGTGGTGGTGTCAAACAGGGTGGCCAGACCTACCGATTTATCGGTAGTCCTACCGATTTTCGGGATGCCTACCGATTCACAGACGAAAGGTTAAAAACTACCGATTTTTCACTTTTCTTACCGAGAATCACAGATTTTTAGTAATCTTGACAAATGTTCTATAACTTCCAATGTTTTGTTTTCCGTGTAGTCATAATTAGAAATATTGATTTCGGCACGTTTAATACCATTGACAGACATACAAAGCAGTACCGTTGTACCATAGAGGTAACTCTAAGACTAGCAGGTCCCAAAGAAACGTGCTCAACTTTTTTGCTCAGCTCTGGTACTATCTTCGGTCCCAAGCTAATCGATTCAACCCTCGAAACATAGGAAAATCCACGAACCCCTCATTTTATCTGTCAAACTTTCATAGCGAATCAAAACAAACATAGTGTAGTACTGAAATTTCGACTAGAATGGGTTACGTTAATCGATTTGCTTGGGACCAATAGGCTAGTCAAGTAGTGAGCCAATTTAAAATCGTTAGTTTCGTATTGATTGTTGATAAGAGTCTCCTCTTCCTCTTAGGTTTAAAGCAGAAGAACTGAAGGACAGTGTATTGTTCTGAAGCAGAGTTCCACCCCCCCCCCCCCCCCCCCGCTCACAAAGGTTTCAAGTTTCGGGAAAGCCTTCTTGAGACGGCCTACCGATAACTACCGATAAAAGTTTTGAGAAGCTACCGATAATGAAAAAAATAATCTGGACACCCTGGTGTCAAAAGTATCTCCGGTCTGATGTGCTGAAGGTGCTGAAGGTGTTCCTGGAAAATGAGGTCCGTGATGCTGTCACCTACACTAAACACGCCAAGCGTAAGTGGCCATGAATGTCCTCTTCAATAAAACGGCCCTTTTCAGGGCCATCAAGCTTACATCAGTAAAGAGTTGGAATAGAATTTATCTGTGCTTGTTTGTCCATATTCAGAACCACAAGCCCCAACGACCACACAAAATGCTCTCCAGAGTTGTAATCTTGTAACCAAACTTGGAAGCAGGGGTACAAGTGATACAATCAACTTTCTCTTTGAAAAAAATACTACAAATTTGGTACGCCTACAATTCAAAAGCGGATAGAGTTGAGATAATAGATAATTGATCAATTAAAATAATTAAAAGCTCTTTACATTTATTCGGTCCACTAGCGGTCCTACGTCAAGCTTCCGTACGTGCCCCTATGCACAGACCCTTATACTTTTCTACGGGAGACTCAATGAATGTGATTTGAGAATGATTTTCAACACTGAGCAAAGTAAGCAAATTTAACGTCAATTTGAGCAACTTATCGAAAATGCTCTTCTTCTTCTTCTTCTCCTTTTGGTGGCGGGTCGAAAATGCTCAACATTAATTTCTCTCTCTCTCTCTCTCTCTTCTTGGTGATGACTATTTCTTCTTTGAAACATTGGCAGTTCTTTTACAGATGCTGCAATTAAACCTCGTATTGAAAATGACTGCTTCTTTAAAACATGAGCAGTAGGGTGGGTCAAGTTTGAATGGTGAATCACAACCCCCTGTTCTCCGCTGCTTTTCCGATGTGTGTCAAATTTGATCGAATTTGGTAGTGACCTGGATTTGTTTGGCAGAAATTCAAATATTGCTCAAATTTCACAAAATCTCGTAAATAGATTGGGAATACTACGCAAAACAACTTTGTCGACTGTAAATCAATAAGACTTCTGAGAAAACAAGTTATTATTATATTAATTTGGACCTATTGCTCTGCGCATACCTACAGGCGTACACATGAGCATGTAGGTTAGGTACACACTTAAATTTTTTCGCCGAGATTCCAAAAGCCGAGTAATTCTGCAATTTATTTTGCTGAGATTCAGGAAAACAATTGCCGAGACTCAGCTAACAAATAACATTTTGCAATGAAGAGCTTTGAGTGTGTTGGTTTATTTCCTTTTTTTTTTTTTTTTTTCCTTTGATTTGTTTTTTTCCGTCGATCTTGTTTTCCGTGCTGAGCACCAATGCTACCGACGTGCCAGGAAGGCAGCTCCCACACCTGGACCCTACCTATCGACCCATCAACTCATGAACCGGGGACCAACGGCTTTACTTCCCATCCGAAGGAAGGCGTGATCAGAGATGTTATGCCTCAGAACATCCCGGCGGCGCCGACTGGGATTGAACCCAGGCCTACTTGGGTGAGAGGTAATCACACTTACCACTACACCACCGGCGCCGTTGGTTTATTTCCTTTAAATTCCGTTATAATTGTTTATCTTTTGACAGATACGCGCATTTCGTCTACTACTTGCAGACTTCATCAGTGCCAAGTACTCAACACCACTATTTGCTGAGATATCAGCTAACAAACAGATATTTTGCAGAGATAACAGCAAAAGTAAATGCCGAGGTAATCGACTGTTGGAGATTTTACCGAGCTATATTAAGCGTGTACACACTAAAAAAATTTAGCCGAGGTTCCAACAGCTGAGTAGCCCTGCAATTTATTTTACTGAGATTCAGTAAAACAATTGCCAAGACTCAGCTAACAAAATAACATTTTGCTGAGATATCAGCAAAAATAAATGCCGAGGTAATCGGCTGTTGGAGATTTTACCGAACTAGATTAAGTGCGTACGTGTGCAACACTAGGTTTAAAGTGAAAGATTAATAACTTTTTGTACAAAGATCAAATCGTTTTGCAGTCTTCGACATAGTATTCTCCCCAGAAGGCCGAGATTTGGTGAAATTTGAACAATATTTTGATTATCTGTTCAAATTTTGCACAGTGTTGGGGACCTCAATACGCATTTAAAGAACAGAGTGGGTTCTAAAGTTGATCCGCCCTAATAAGCAGGTCGACAGTGGGCATGCATAAGGGCGTAACTGCAATATCAATTCTCTTGCGTTTTGATTGCCTATACAACCTGTTACAGCATTGTATTGGAAAAATTTCAGAAAATTGCTTCCCAGCAATTTTAAGATAAAATCGATGAAGAGAATCGATCATCGCAGTAAGGCCCTTATTCATGCTCACTGTCGAGTTCTTTGACAAATCAAGATAAACATTTCAAAATGTCCTTTCTACATAACTCAGCTACAAAACCTGTTGTATTTGACGTTTTGGGCGCCAGACAAGTACCTCCTTTATCAATTTATGTGGTCAAAAAAAGCGCGAAATATGTTTGCATAGCAGTGATTTTAACGCTCTTGGGTCATTCGTGACTTGTCCGGGGGTGAGATTCGTGACTTTGGCGTGAGAGGTATGGATGCTAACCACTAACCCCCAGCAGATTCCCCTCGCTCAGACCCGTCTGACCCGACTGCGACCATTAAGCTTATCTATTGTGGTATGAACATTTGGTATTGTTTAGAGATATTGATTTAGCATTTCAACCAAACATTAATATTTAAAAAGTCAAGAGCTAAAAACACAATTTATCAGGAACCACCCTAAGTCAATTCTGGAAAAAAAATGTTCTAACACGACAATGTCAATAAACAGAAAAAAAGTTTCTTCAACCAAGTTGCTTTAGATCATCTCAGCTACAACTTTGCCGAAGAACATGTGTGTCTTTACTTTCAAAAACTAAAATATTAGTTATGATTCGTTAGGTAACAACATTAGTTAAGTGTTCTAAAAAAAACTAATAATTTTCATAGCAAACGAAAAGACATACGCATGAAAATTATCATAAAAATCCAACAAAACAAATCAAATAAAAAATCAAAATTACAAAGGTAAATTTTTTACATTGTTGTATAAATTACCTTCATCCTATAAAACCATCAGCGGCAATGTGCGTGCAGGTGTGCCCATTTCTATGTATCGTCTTCCAGCTTTGTTCTACCTTCAAGTATCGTATGCCTATCTTGATGCTGTGTTTCCTTTCAATGCGATCGTTTTTGTGTTTGTTTGTATGTGTGTGTGTGTGAAGTGTATTATCTGGTTTCATTCGCGTAAAAAAATACCAAACCTTCATTTGCCTAACGCCGTTTTCCAGTTGTTGCAACTAAAATATGTTCCAATGAAGTTGTAGCGCCTTGTCTAACACCACCTAACGGGTTTAAGGCGACCTTAGTTTATCACTACATACGGTAGGAGTTATTCGCCAGGAAGCCTGTGTCGAGACTACTATCTATTGGAGATTCCTTGTGAACACATCCAAATGTCACAATAGGTTGAAGTAAAAAAAACCAAAATCGATCATTCTACATTAGCAGCAGTCTCTAGTTTTACAATATATGTTTTTTTAACTTTATTTTGATGTTTCCAAATCGAGAGGAAAATATTTTACCGACAAATCCAAGCGTCGTTTTGTTGTTGTTGTTTCAAACTTTGATTAGCCTTGTTGTTGGTTTATTGTTCAGTTTTGTTGATTCTTGAGTTGTCGCGATAATTTCAATTAATCCTGCACCCAATTCTGGCATTGTCGTTTATTTCGTATTTTAAAGGAAATCAATTGTTATTATACAGTTTGTTTGAAGTGTACCACTTCGTTCAATGATATATCATCATAAAAACTGGGCATCCTCTACGGAGATCCAGACAACCTTTGCCAGGTTACATTCGTGTTTTGCTCTGTCTCGGCCGTTGCGTTTGTTGAGCTAGAGCAAAAAAACGAGAGAACCCACATACGGGGTACCTATTTAGTATAGCGAGAACAACATTAGACAACGGGCAACCAAGTGGCTGCCAGCGTTGAAAAATTGCTTTATACAACCTTCAACAGTCTTGTTGCATTTGTTGCCATCGCGTTTCCGAAGGATGCCCATCAATATTTATATAAATGTAGTTTCTAGTTTCGTTCTTTTTTATCTAAGTACACGCTCACGCTCGGGCTCGGAACCGAATTTTGTGTGTTTGTGTGTCACACCTTATCAGTTGACCGTTTATAGACTTTGCTGATTATATTAACTATTTTACTTTATATGTTTGTGTTTGTGTGTGTATTTTGTAGTGTTTCGTAATTTTTTCCTGGATTCAGAATGAATTTGGTTTCTGATTCGCTGTGTGCATGTTTTTGTTTCTTTTTTTCTATTGTATCGCGAAACTCGGCTTGAACGTGTGTTTCTCTGAATTGCATAGAACTTCAAAGAGAGTCGAGAAATTTTATTGTGTGTATGTGTGTTCTTATGTGTTGTGTGTCCGTGTCTGTTCCGCTACAGTTTCGTTACAGTACGCGCAGTCCCGTGGATACTGGTTGTTTAAAACTAATTGATTTAGTAATCGTCAAGGTCAACATCGTCCAGCGGCTCGTCGGCCTGGAGTGACTGGAAGTCTACTTTGTAGCGTAGGATTCCTGAGCACATTGCACGCGTGCACACATTTATGGCCCCAAACCCGCATTGTTTGTTGGATTGCGTTAGTAAAAGTGTTAGCATTTTGTTTTTTGGAAGATAAAGAATAGAGAAGGGAGAAAACGGTTCTGTTAGCACCACTAGCAATAAGTGATTAGGGTAGACGCATCAGTTGTGTCACTAGCACCAGGTATGACTACTTTTGAAACTGAATCACTAAGTCGAATAAACACCTACTTCTCAGACTCCAGGCATACCACTAGCTAATTGCTATCTTTTGCTGATGCGTCTACCCTAGTTCCGACGCTGATATGTTTTAGCATTTGTCAAGGTTATTCTGTTTAGCGAACAGGGTACAAAAACTACTTGAAACCTACCTCCAATTCCACCAAATCCTCGCACAAACTGGCTGCCCTCTTGGGATTTGTCAGTGATAATTTCCAAAGTAGCACCAAAACTCTTGTAGTTGTTTGCAAGCCATTCCAACAAAGGCTGAGATTCGACCAGTTCCATCTCCACGCCACTCTGCAACGAAAAAGAAAAAAAGAAAAGAAAAATCCCATTACAAACCAATCTCCAGGCAGATCCAAAACATTCCAATTTCGTCACCTCCTTATCCGTGAAGTGAGACTTGTCCTTTTCCTGTTCCGGAGTCAGGTGCAATACTGTGGTGGACGTCGCACTGACATGGTTCTTCAGCACATAGCGTTGAATGTCCAAGTTCTCCCAGCAGATCAGCGTTTCGACTGAGCCCAGTTCCAGTGCCTTTAATGTATCCTCTACGCCGAAGCAGTATTTGCCAGTATCCTAAAATGAACCAACCAATTGAATAAAACATTCACCGCGTGCCACTCGTTTGACTTTACCTGTGAAATTTCGTCAAAGTATCGACCGATCAATTTCTTTTCCTGGATAAATTTCACGTTCTGCAACGATTCGGCTGCCAGTTCGATAGCCTGGTTAAAACCGTTCTCACCACCGTACGATACGTCCACTAGTTTGATAATTTTCGATTGCAACCGCTGTTTGAATGGATCAAAACATCATACATGGTCTTCGTAAAATCAGCTAAGAGGCAAATGATCTTACCGGATCGAACATATCTGACTGACTGAGTTCAGTTTTGAAATCGGCACTACCGGCCAGGATCAGTCCGGCAATGTTTGGCTTGTCGTTGGTGATGAACAGCTGGGTGGCCACCTCCGCTACCTTCCGGACGTAGTTGTGTCGCTTTTCCATACGCAGACGGGCGAAACGCAGCGCGGACTGACCACCACGACCGTGCTTCTTCGGCAGATCGACGGTGAATTTGTGCAGCACTTCGCGTGTGTTACCCTGCGAGTTAAATCCAAGTGATGTGTGTTACATACCCATGAAATCCGGAATACTGACGGGCGTCAAACAAACCTACCTGAAGCGTACCGAACAGTGCACCGTTACCGTCCATCACAATGAAACCGAACTTATTGTCGTCCGCCAGCAGGGCCGTCAGCGCTTCGGTGTGAAACTTATTATCGCATAAGTATAAAGAGGTATTGATCGGTTTGAACGGTTCAAAGTCAATGTTGACCTTCTTTTCCTTGCCCTCTTCGGTGACGATCGTACCGCAGTAGATCACGAGTCCATTCGGAGGCACTTTGGTGTATAGTTTGAGCCGGTGCTGGACCGAGGTAATGGCACCCAGTACGGAGAGGCGATTGACGCGGGACTTGATGTTGGAAGCGGTACCGAACTCGTCGGCCAACATCTTGCTCACCCGGCTGATCTGATCCTTGGGGGGAATGATCAGCGAAATCATGCTCGTGCCATTGCTGCAAAGAAAGCGGAAATCATGGGTGGTTAATAATGCATAACTAAAACAGTCTCTTTAAACTGTCAATGTGGTTTTAGAGCAGCGTTGCAATGGATTCATAAGTCTAAAAATCATAGCGTAAATGGTAAGCTCCAACCGGTATTATCCTCGAATTAAATCCTGACCACGAATGTCAGGCTGTTGTGGTGTCGACGTCGATGTTAAACAATACGATCCTTAACAAACATTTGGCAGATCCTTCAATCAGGGCCGGTATTAAAAGTTGATTCGAGTTGGAGCTTGCCGCCATTAGTTTCCTGAGAGTGACCCAAATTTGAGTTTAGTTTACTCATAAATCACTTAAAGTGCAGGAACCCAGCGATGAGTAAATTTGCCTCATGTTTTCCCAGGTTTGTCCAGGAGAAAAATCCCGAATATGAGAAAAGTTAAGATTGGATTCACTCAGTCTATCTATTGGTACTACTTCTAGACTGAGTAAAATTTTAGTCAATTCTGATTGATTGCCTTTTTTACACACCCAGGTGTTCCGAAAGGCTATAGAAAGTATCGCTTGAAAAATACGTTTTCGATCTAAGGCCTGGAGGGACAAGCATCCAATCGAATCAGCTCTATGAGATAGGAAAATGTGTGTGTACAGTTGGTTTTTCTTGTTTGAATCTGACATACAATCCCGATTAGACATATGCAGTGGCGTCGCCCTAACCTCAATCTACCTGTTCAACAACTCTCAAAACGTAAACAAACAAAACAATATTGGTTTCAATGGATACAAATCAGTAAAACTAGAAGACCCTATGCCATTTGAAACTGATTTGAAGGTAAAAATGACCCTAAATAACGATTTCAAAGTTGTTGAACAGGTAAAAAGTGAGGTTACGCGACGCCACTGGACATATGGTTCCAGATATATGAACAATACTGTGTTTTACTTGCTCGCTTTTCTCGAAGACTGTTGAACCGGTTCGCGTGAGTATGTTCTGATTATTGCGTAAACATCCACCGGCTTCGCTGCAAATATTGCGAAGCAGTAAAATAATCTTCCTGAAAGGTCTAGAGAAATGGACCAATGTGTTGCGGGTGCGGCTTTGCTGAAGGTGGAAAATCGCAAGGCCAGCTCGCTTCTCTGCCCGGTAAAGACGAAGACACAGGTCGCTCTTAGCTGTCGACACAAGCAGGCCCTTTAGGGGCTGTTCATAAACTACGTAGACAGTCTAGGGGGGGAGTTGACAATTATCCACGGCCCATACAAATTTTAAAATTTTTGTATGGACAATTGTCTACGCAGTACTTGGGTCAAGAATCCCAAAAAAACTGTCTACGTAGTTTATGGACAGCCCCTTAGACGCTAACCAAAGTACGGCCACGCAAACCAATACCACTTTCGGAAAGGTGAGAGTTGCTCTTATCCGATGATGTTGTTCGTTTGCGTGAGCGTACTTCGGTTCGCCTATAAAGGGCCTTAAAAAGTTTGTTTACAAAAGCTTTTGTGCCGTTATCAAATGTTACACCTGAACTTGTCACTCCGAACATAGTTTATCCATTTTTCGGATCTGGGTTGATTCTAACGAAATTTGGGTACTTTCGAAATAGCGCGTAAAGGAAGAGAGAAGGATAAGTAATTTTCATTTAATTCCACTACCTTATTTGCTTATCCTTTGCAGATACGCGTATTTCATCTACAATGTGCAGACTTCTTCTAATACTCGACTAGCTACAAGCAGTGCTGTAAATTCTCAAAATCATTTGAACATTTTTGATGAAAATGAGAAAAGTAGCTATTCGCTATCAAACGGGACCTCCTCCGAATGGGTGATATCAGTTGCTTAGTCATTTGACGAAGGCATGGATCATTCTCGTTTGAGAAACGCTATATATCATTCAATTGAGTGTAACCTACACACAAACGGAGCTCTGGTCGACATTCCGGCGAAAAAGCTAAGCCAACCCGACACCAACCTGACTTCTATCAAACCCCAACCCGATGTTGACCCGACATTGACCCGACATAAACTAAAAATTGACCCGACAACAACACGACATTGGGTCGACATCGACCTTAAATTAGCCTTACATTGATCCGACATCGGGTCGACTTGTCTGTTCGGGACCATTTTGCTGGATTTCTTCCATACTCCACTGTCTTATATCAAATGATACTGAGTGACTCAATTGACAGTGACAATGAGCTTCGAATGAGAAAGGGGCTCTTCAAATTATGGTCATGTGAGAATTCGTTTACACAGAATTGATTGAATGGTTGTAGTGGTTCATCTTCAATCGAATGATATGAAAATTTACAGCACTGGCTACAAGACACTGAAGAAGTTTGCACATTGTAGACGAAAAAAGCGTATATGTCAATGATAAGCAATTAAGGTAGTGAATTAAATGGAAATTACTAATCCTTCTCTCTTCCTTTATACAGGTATTCCATTAATAATAATACTAATACGAACGAACAATCGATATCAATTCTCTGATTTAAACAAAAACGCTTCCTCCCGGATGCCAACACGCCGACCACTCGGTTCATCGGATTGCCATTCAACAAGAGTCCGATTGGCAGCAGTAGAGTTTCACCGAATAACACCATCATCACGATATGTGACGGCAAAGGAGTGCCGCAGTTTACTCGGTCCTGTGGGATTGAAAGCTTCAGGAACACCCTCAAGTGTACGAATATTACAGCGCAAGCCACTGCCATCAGCATCAGCGCAATTGAACGCGGCTATAACAAAGTGTAGGTACGGGTGACAGTTCGAGGGCTTGGACTGGGACGAATGTCGGCTATCAAAGGATTGGAAATGGCTGGAATGAACATTGTATCCATCACCTATATGACACCGGTATCGTGTAATCCATGCCGACCTCGGAAAAAGCGAAACTTGTAAAAGCTAACATTACCACAAGTTAGTCGTAACCCTCACTACTTGTCCTCTTTCTATCAGCTCTTATTCCTATTTAATACAATTTGAAACTAGTGGGACAGAGCTACAAAACTGAGCCAGCTAGTGGAAGAATCTGATACCTATCCCGAGTAAAGTCCAGCATCAAAATGACAGCAAATCCAAATCAAATTTTGATATCAATATCAAACTAAAATCATAATTTGATTTCAGTCTATGCGATTGACAAATTTTATATCAAATTTTGTTTTCATTTTGCTGTACATTTGCTCTTTAACAATATGTTGTTGCGGGTTTGTTTTCATTGCTTTGGCAGAATATCACATTGAATACTCGTTTTGTTATCAACAAGAAAAATTTACATCAAATTGAGTGTTCAGTTTGTTCTCAATGATAGCAGAATTAGTTTTCAATGTGATGTTACAGGAACATTTGTTTGCTCTTAAATATTATATTTTAACCGTTAAAACGACACCTGAGTAAAAATTATCAGCGACATCACAACATCAAATTTAGTTTTCAATTTGATCTCAGACTTTGCTCGGGGTGCTATACGATGTAGCATCCCGAGCAAAGTAAAGCATCAAAATGACAGCAGATCGAAATCAAATTTTAATATCAACATCAATCTGACATAATAATTTGATTTCAGTTTACGCAATTGACAAATTTGATAGCATATTTTGTTTTCATTGTCTTAGCAGAAAATCAAATTGAATACTTGTTTTGTTATCTACAGGAAAAATGTAGGGGGGGTGGAAGCAAGAAGACCATACGGGGCGAGATGGGCCACTGTTCGTTTGGGCATATTACCAATTACAGGGCTAGTAGCGATCACTGCTGTCAAAAATAGTGATTTTAGTGACCATGTTGAAGAAATAAGTGACCAAATAGTGACTTATAGTTCAGAGTTGGTTGGAAATGCTAACATGAAGCTTTAGTGTGATGATTTATTAGCTAGAGAATGATCTTTAGAAGAATGTAGGTGGATAGTTCCGTTAGAGTACGGCAGTATGAAAATTGAATAGAAGTTGAAAATGAGCGAAGGGCCATTAAAGCGACAGTTTTCAAGATGACGCACATTTTTGCCTAGCCCGTACGATGTACGCGGGGACTTGAAGTATGTCTCCAAGTCCACAGGCAAAAATGTGCGTCCCTCTTGTTGCTCATAAACTGACTGCGGCTGTGGAATAGTTCTAGCGACGTTTTTCATCACTACCTAAAGCCCCACGTCGCGAGAGCATTTCCAGTCGATGGTGTGTTATAATGCAGTTCTTCTTTACCCAACTATTGTGTTGCTCCTCTCGTCATGACCAACGTGATCATCTCAGAGAGAAAGCAGTAGGGTGGTTGTTGCGTGCTGTACCATCATCAGCATTGTTGACGGCTACTCCCGCCTTGAGTTGTTACATTCAAAGTGTTTTTTATGTTACTTCATACGCGAAGTTAACGATTTTCAGAGTTGGTTGGAAATGCTAACATGAAGCTTTAGTGTGATGATTTATTAGCTAGAGAATGATCTTTAGAAGAATGTAGGTGGATAGTTCCGTTAGAGTACGGCAGTATGAAAATTGAATAGAAGTTGACTTATAGTTGTAAAAATAGTGACTAAAAAGTGACCTAAGAGAAATTAAATGTTTGATGTTTTAGACTTATTCAATAAGTATCTCATAAACACTTATGTACGATATGAACCTCTAAAGCGAAAGATTGAAGTTTCGTCAATTTTCCTTAAGTATTATAACCATTATAAACTCTGACTAATTTTCCCTGAACTTATATATGGGTACCTGAAGTTCTCAAAATTTGTTTAATGACCCGGCAAATTTTCTGATATCAATTCATAATTCCCTGACGCTTCTGCCGTTTTTGGATCAATCATAGAATACCCCATCATTCAACGGAACTCCTTGTAAGCCTCTGCAAATTTTCTTAAGTTAATGGGATTATTTTGAAGCTATCTGATTCGTCCTTGAAGTACTCGGAACTTCGTTGAATATCATGAAACTATCTAAAAATATTTAAATTTATTAGAAGTTCTCTGGAATTTCTTGAAGATATCACTGCTTGCTGAAAGTTCTCGCATTTTTTT